ATACAAGATCTGACTATTTCCGTACAATGGATGAATTGAATTTTTATAAAATATTTCGTCTTACAAAAAAGACTTGTCTGCGAATTTTACCGTTGATAGAGGAAGTACTAGAATAAAAGAAGTACTAGAATCATGAGGAAATTATTATTTTTATTTTATCTCTGATAACTAGTCTTTTGGTCAACATCAACAACAACCATATATTATTGTATATTAGATTTACAACAAACACCATAAACATGACACGACAAACTGAATACCGAAACCTAACATAAAGCAATAAAAGTACATAGACGTACTTTGCTAAGTATAGTTTATGATCCATCCGTGCAATGCTTTAAAAAAATAAGTACATATAACTTAATTTTAAGAACAACTTTATTAAGTTATTGTTAGGATAATGTCGGTAAGTATCAGAATTGTACAAGATGTCTAGAAATGATATTTGAATAGTAAATTCATAAATCGAAAAGTCGATTGGCTGAAGTATTTTTGCAAAATAATATCTTTTATATCCATTGATTTACCACACTAATACGATGAAAACCTTTTTGGAACCGCCGACTCCACCAATACTTCTGCCTAAGTGTTAGTGCATGTCTATTTCTAAATCGTATGTGCAGCTAACTCGCGATTTTCTTCAGTGTTTACATACATACCGCCATGTCCATTCACTGTTGCTGTATTGGCGGGCCATTTTAGTGAGTTTATTCACAATTATTAATACACGACCGTTGACATACTGTCCTTTCAAAAAAAAACCATTTCACTTAAACATTTGTTAGGTAATAATTTTCGCAATAAAAGACACACGTTTAAATAAAACTGATGATTACCTAAATTTAAACTAACAGTTTTCCTATTCTGAAGAAGCAGATAATACCCCATTTACGGCCAAAATTATTCACCTCTTTATATGTAGTATGTAACTCGGGAACGATTCCAGAGGTTCTCAAAAAATTTTAACAATTTTGATTACTTAATAGGTACTTTATTAATATATTCTACATACCATTAAAAAATCGTCTCCAAGTTTGTAAACATTCTGTATTTATCACGTTTAACTGAAATTCCTCAATTAAAGTGGGGGACTTTGACGTACCGTATTGATTCATAGACGTAAAATTAGGAATCTTCACTAAATAGCTGGGCTATTCTGTAGTGTCTTACTCGGCGGTCTAGAGGGTAGTGTCAACAACGGCCATTGGCAGCGGCTACTTTCCGTGGAAGATCGATCACAGCGCAATCAATCAGAACGTATTTGTTAAACTTAAATTTAATTAAACGCATTCTGATTTGCTGTGCTGCTGGTTGCGCCGATATGGCTTTCCATTAGAAGTCCTAGCCTGACGTCGACCCAAATCTATAATATATTGGATTTAATCTCGAGGAAACGCAAATTACTCACTGGTTCTCTATTGACGAATCGTAAGATGGAACTGATTATATATATATATATATATATATATCTGTAATCATAGAATCGATTATGTATTTGTCCTTTCCTTTTGCTCCAGAAAGGTAGTTCTAATGTGTAAATATCAACAATCTACAGTATTTGTTCTATAACTCTTTTACACAATTTGGTCGCAAATCAAAAAATTACCAAATACACGTTAAATGTTTTAAGCGAACCTTTTGGAATATGTACAAATAGCGAGAACGATCTTATTATTTAAAAAAATGTTTTTGTCTATCCTTATCATAGTGCTCTTAGAAATTAAAAAACTACTCTGAAAAAAATATTAAATCCAAATGTTATGCTTTATGTTGCTTTACGTTCTGGATGAAGATAAATTGCCGAGCTTTCCTATCACTGAGCACTGAGGGATTCATCCTGTACATTTGATGTTAAATTAGAGAATAAATTACACCTGTTTACTTTCCAATATTCCCTCAATATTTCATATGCAATAAATGGAATCATATTTTTAATCTTTTTATTGGCTTTTTTATTAAACCCTTTTTGCCTAATAAAAAAATACGTTCCGGAAAATCACTTTTTTTCATTATTGAAACTTGTAATGATGTTTCTTTTTAAGGGGAATTAAGGGAATATAATCTGAGATATAAATTACTACAATTTTGATATTACTTTTGCCTAATTTTACTTCAACTGTGACATTTGACTGCAACTTCTACAAATTGTTAAATCTACATAAATATAATTCAATACCCATGACTTTTTGAGCGAAATGTGAGATGTGGTTTCGATTCTGCTCTGTATCAGATTGCCTGAACTTATATCGCGTCTAAACGAAAATACCTGTGAATTTCGTTGCGACTTGGGTAAACCCATTATACATTTATTGTGCATACAAATTCTACAGCATCATGGAATCGATGTATATACATACGTCCATTCGTGTTTCCCTTGTCAATCCTCTCACAATTTCGTATAAGATTTTGTAAGGATGCAGTGAAGTACGGTAATCCAAACCGAATCATACCAGCCTTTGTTTGGCGATGAATTGGAATAGGGATTACAACAAATGTGTTTGCTTTTAAAATATTTTTGCAACCCGTACTTTAAAGTACCTAATTCATCCTCGTATTCAATAAATATGATTGTTACTTAGGATGAAAGAGTATTTCATCGTTAACTTTCGGTAAACATATGACAGGAATTTTTTAGTTTACACATGAATAGTTTGTTAAATTCTATTTATTTATTAAAATAAATTAATTCACTTAAACTTTTAAATCAACTCCATAGTTGAAATTCCATAGAAAAAGTAATTAGAAACAATTGTATAGTTATGAACAAAAGAAATTATGTGATACATATAAAATATTTAAAGAAGAAACTATTGAAACCCTATTTTATAAGCAGTATTGGTCGAAAATTTATTGTCCATAGCTGTTCATGTACGGGGTATTCCAGTTTAGGTAAAATATTGAGAATTTTCCCAACTTGTTCAACACTTTTTCTAACATTTTTGTTGTGCTCAAAAGCCAATTTAAACTAATTTTTTTATAATGCAGCGACTTTGCATATGTAGTAGTGATATTTTTTTATCCCAAATTTTGCGCGCAATAATAATTCAAGCCAATAATTTTAGTTTCTCTAAACATTTACATAACAGTTTTTAATAGTAATAATAATAATAACAGCATTTAATGCCCAACAGTTATCCATTTACAGAGCAATTGTAAAAAAAATGTCTAGTGATAATTTGTACAGATAAAACATTATTTTCAAATACAAAATAATAAAAACAATAGATAGAAAAATTCAGTAAACATTAAGTACAGATAAAATGCAGATACAGAATAATAAAAAGAATAGCCAAAAAAAAAACAAAAAAAAATCAATAAACATTAAGGACGACTTAAAATTTTATAAAATTAACTTAAATAATATGTACATGTATAAGCACTACATTATAAAATCATAAGACACACAGCTTTCAATTGGGAAATACTACAACAGAATATATCACACATATCAGAGACCCTATTGGCATTGCTAAACATCACGTTAAATAGCGCATTTAATAATAAATTCGTTTTAGCTCTTGCAAAAAAATGATATCTGAAGGAAATTCTAGGAACTAAAATATTTACGTAGGACAAGTCAGGGCACTCAATTTTACAGTGTAAAAGTTTGTGCAATAATAAAACAGAAGCTAGATTCCTACGTTTCTCCAAGGAAACGAAATTAAATGTGAGCAACAATTCTGGATAATTGCACCTTCTCGGGGGATATATTCTATTTATTTTAAAACTTAACAATTTCGAGAATGTCTTGAATTCTTCAATAATTAGAGAATAGTGAATATAAATAGGATTCCATATGATGCAAGCATACTCTAACTTAGTTCGGACTAGACTAAAATATAAACATTTAAGCTAAGATATCTTGAAAATTTCTATAATTTATGATAATAAATCCAAAAGTATGAAATGCTGAATTGACAATCGTATTGATGTGACTATTAAAAGTAAGCCCAGTGTCAAAATAAACCCCTACGATAAAATCTTACACTTACTGTAATTTAAATAAAGCTTATTTTCCTCACACCAATTTTCTAAAATGTTGATCTGTTCTTCTAATGCAAAACAATCTTCAAAACAAGAAATAGATGAATGTAGTTTTAAGTCATCAGCAAACATTAATACATTACAGTTTAATGTATCACTTATGTCATTTATGAATAATAAAAACAGTAAGGGACCCAAGTTTGATCCCTGTGGGACTCCACTTGTTCAACAGTAAGTATCTGAGCAAAACCCGTTTTAATACACATATTGTTGACGATTGTGTAAATATGAATTTTTTTGTACGACTTGTTTTTGTTGTTGTGTTTTGCAACATATTTTTTTATATCAATATAGAAAAAACGTCAAACAATAAAAAAAAATCGAGTGTTTCAAATAATTAATATTTTTACAAAATTTAATACTTATTAACTAATATTTATGTGGATTGACATATGCTACTAATTGTAAGTTAAACTAATTTTATGTTTTAAAATAATTGTTTCTACTATTTTATAAAATGTACATAATGTATTTAATAAAAAATAAATAAAAATGCTTACCAATCTCATAAGATTAAAAATATATTTTAAAATCATTTTGAAGTTTCAAATGAAAATTATTTACTATTTTTTTTAATCACTGTTTAGTTTGTGAATCTCAGAGTCATTGACCTCTGACATTGACCTAGTTTAGGTGAACTACATAATAGCAATTCACCTGAATTTTTGAAAACAAATCCTATGTAATTCGTCCTTTAGAGTTTAAACAAGGCAGAAAAGGTTGTCCGTATTGATATTTATTAAAATCTAACAATGTTATTCCCATTATGTAATCGTAGTACAGTAAGAGCTGGGCAACCTAATCTTTAAATGTCACTTTCAGGAAAATTAAAATTAGATTTTAAATTAAGTGATGTAAAATTTGGGGATATTTAATTTTGATATTTTTCATATAGACACTTGTGTTTGTCTTTTATTAACAAATCCGTATAACTTACAATGCTTTTATTTTCCCAGGCGCAGCATGGTGGTCGATGGCCTCCCACTTGGCTGCCCAGGACTACCTCGCCCGATTGCAGGCATCAGGCCTGAACTTTCCCTCTCTAGGCAATCCCGCAGACTTGCAGTACCCTTCTCTTGGCCTTCCATCGCTTACGTCGCTTCACAAATCATCGAAGAACTCCAAAAGCTCACTATCCAGATCACAGAGCAACTCCAAATCCTCATCGCACCTATCGTCTTCATCGGCCAAGCTAGACGGACGCCTGGATTCGGGCAATATAAAGCCTAACATCTCTATGTCCAGTACCAGGGCAACTTCGTCGTCCCAGTCTTCTCACAACTCCCACAAATACTCCTCGTCCAGTCTCACCATCCAGCCTAGCATGAAATTACCCAGCACGAATTCTAGCAGTGAGAAGCATCGGCAGAAAGTGAATGATCTGAACTACTTGAATAAATTGGATAGGCCTAAGTGTACCAGTGTTAGTAGTAGTAGTGCTAAAGTGTCTTCGCCCTCGCCTAGCATCTTCACCAGTCCGCTGAGTTTGGCCAGTAACCCCGACAAGGGTAGCGGAGTCAGCACGAGTAACAGTAGTCACAATTCTGTTAATAGTAGCAATATTGCCAGTTTACCTTCTAGTATATTAAGGTAAGATACCATAGATTGTTAATTAAAACACTTCTATCATACTTCTGCTATTGGAGTTTGACTAAATTTTGTTTTCATTGGATAACGAGCTGAAATATTTCCATATTTCTAATATAAATGTTTTTTTTTAAATATTCATGTATCCTAAATAAATATTCATCATTCGGTAACTGAATTTTGTAGATTGCCACTAAATTCTTAACACGTTATAAATTCTAAAATGTCACAATCATTCACATCATCAGCTACACCACTTTCAACAAATTTTAGCAACAACCTTCTCTTCATGAAAAATTTTAATATTAAAAACTAAATTATTACGATAACCCATTTTTATACTTTTAGTAAAATAAGTTATACAGCCTGTGCTAATATTTAAATTACAATGGTTTTTCGGGTTGTTACGCCGTGGTCTGTATACCTGGTCGTCATCAGTTTCAGAATTATCTTTCACTTCTTTAACCTTAGGAAACTTCGACCTGTTCTTGTTATTTTCGGACTAGGCTCTGTGGCTACAGACCCAATATTAAGACCCCTAGGCCCGTCTAAGGCCACAACTGAGCACAGCGAAGTATTTACAAAGTAACTGAAGATGCTATAGATTTTAAATTTCTAAGCCACAGATATTAAAGTATCTAGAACCGACGTTTTTTGACAAAGTTACCAACTTTTACCAATTTTTACAGAATGTGAAAATTATATTCCTAATTTATTCATTTTAAGCTAAAATATAGAAAACAATTAAATTTTGATAGTCTTCTGATATAAGTAGCAATTAAATATTTAAAAATGTAAATACTGTATAGAATTTCAAAATATCTAAACAAATACTTGACTTTCGTCAAAGGTTGTGGTACTTTCTCGACATTTATTATGTTGGGTACCTAGTAAAAAATCACACAAATGATAATGAATTTAATTTTTTTGTTAATAAACAAGTAGTTTTAAAGGAAAAAAGTGAGAGGTAAAAGTTTTAAAATAAACCAGGCTATATTTGATAGCATTTTTGAATATTCAATTTTTGTCAAGCAAAAAAGTAGTGGGAAGAAATTTTCCAAAAATTGTTGAGAAGTTGCACATTCTTTAGTAAAAAATTTGTGTAAAATTTGATTGTTATACCTTTTTTGGTTTTCAAATTACAACCGTTATTCCATATTTTTTTGTAAACTTTGAGAGGCTGCATCTCAAGGAGTGAACATTTTACTAAGGTCATTTTTATGCAAAATGTGTTCTTTTTAGCTGTAGATTCACCGGTACCATTTGTGCTACTTCTTTTGAAAACACCCTGTATATTAATCTCAGCATTGCCAGACGTCCCGATTTTTAACCCAAAATTAAATGGGTCAGTCCCGCTTTTCCCGCTCTTGTTTTTTTTTTAGGCATCAATTATTTTCTCCAGGTCCGTTATTTTAAGTAGATATTTCCTAATTACATCTTTTTTTTTAGACATCGATTTCTTTGAAAATAATTTGTTCCCCAGATATCCTGACTCCTTTTTTTTTGCATCAATTATACAAATGCGTTATGACGTCATACCTTAGTATATCCCGTTTTTGGACGAAAGAATCCTGCTTTTTTATTGAAAAACTTTCAAAATCCCGCTTTGCCCGAAAAAAAACTGGCAACGCTGATTAATATATACATATTTGCAAGATTTATCTGAACATGAGACATTTTTTATATCCAAAGCATACAATATAAAATACAGTAAACAAATTAAGTACACGTATAACATTTACATAACACAATGTATTATTGAATGATCAGGATTTGTTTTCCCTATAAATGGATTGATTTTCCAATAGATTTTGTGGTTTTTTCTATGAAAGTGCCATCTCGTAATTGATTGTTTTCGGTAATGGGGCTTGTAAGGAGTCATGGTCATTTTTCAGCAACGTCAGAGATTAAAAATTAAACTAAAATGTAAAAGCGATTTTCCATTAAATGGACAAAACAAAAACAAAACACAAACTCGTGTCGAATAAAACAAAACTGTAACTTTTCACAAACTTTTTGAAGACTGGCGTGTTTTGCGACAGTTGGAGTTTTGTTTTTCAGGTCCCGCTTGGAAGAGGGTCACATCAAATTTTTGCCTTGTATTTGGATAGTATACAAACTAATCAATTAAACACTTTAACCGTACATATATACACTTACTTTTTTTCCAAGGAATTCAGTATAAACCAGCCACAACTAATAATAAAGAAATCTTCTTCTCTAAACATGTTGGTTGGTTATTGAAAAAATGTATTCCGACTTCCTCGCGACAACCAATGGGAAAGGACCGAAAACAAAAACGAAATTCGAGCAAAATGTAGCCTGATTGATGGAAACAAGAGTTTTGGGTTTGCTTCAGTTTTGTTTTTGTTTTTCAGGTTCTAGAAAACACAAACACAACATAAACTCAACTGTCCGTTTAGTGGAAAACCGCCATAAAAATAATAAAAGAAATTTTTATTAAAAAAAAACAATAGAACATACATAAGAATTAAAAAATTTTCGAACAATTTTTATTCATGCTAAGTTGTACATAGTTATTACATAATAAAATTTATTTTTTACTTTTTTCCTCGTTAAAAATGGACAAAAAGAAAAAATTTTAAATGTCATAAGTCCTCTATCCAAGTCCTCTCTTTTTTGTGGGCCCATTTTCTGAAAACATTTTGTTTTTTATAAAAAAAATATTACAATAATTTTCAAATGTATGCGAACCGTAGGTAGGTAAAAATACTGCGTAATTTTTTTAACTGGTTAATATGGTCGACCAAATAGAAAAATACATCAGTATGTATGCTTAATATTTAAATCACACCTGTGAATGGAAAATTGGTGTCAGCAGTCTTATCTAGAATTTCTAATCAAGTTTATTTGTTTCTAAACAAAATAGTTGTAGTTCTTGTTGCATTTAATAGCTATTAATTATACTCATTAAACAGTTACTTATAAGAGGTTACATTACAATTTCATTATCCTCATTAAACAGTAACAGTTACTTGTAAGATGTTCCATTACAATTTCTTGAATTTTTAGGGAAATTAGCATCGATCATGATCAATTTGGGTCGTACATATTATTTATACCCTTCTTTATTATTCTAAGAATAACTGTAAAAGAAAATCTATTGTTCAAGAAAAAAAAACAGTACAACTTTTGAATTGCATTTGAGGCAATTTAGAAAGTTTGAAAGAATAGTGTCCACTTGTAATTCTAGTTATTTTCAATTATAAAATCTAAATTAATATATTTCTGACATGTACATTTGTTATTTAGCAGGAAACTAATCTCTATGTAACACATGTCTAGCATTTTAATTACTGTAATTTCACGTGTAACAACAAACACCTTATTTACTAGCAATTTGAACACTTAAAGTGTATTATTTATTTGTCATTACGTAATAGGAACAGGCACACAAAATTAAAAAAGTATTTTATATGCATTTTGATCCGCTGAATCCCAACCCCTACAGAATTTGAAAATTTGTTAAAAATGGCTGAAAATCCTCAAAAATTGTGGAAAAGCCAACTAATGGGCATCAACGTTTTGAAAAAAAATATTTGGATCGGATAAAGCTTTAATGTCATGTATTTTAAATGTGCTGAACACTAATTAGTTTTCCTGATTTACTGTAATCGAGCTATTTGAGAACTGTCAGAAAAATACGAAAAGTTGCCAGAAAACCATTTATATCGAAATTTGGATCAGTCCAAGTCTTATTCCAGTATTTTGATGCGTTGAATATGAATTTGACAATGAAGTTTCCTGGCTCTGCGTATATTTTGGAAAAAGCCATAAATGATTAAAGTTTCAGTTTAAAATTCTGTACTTAATCCTCGACTTAATCTTAAATGGAAAAATTTAAATTTGTTTGTGTGCACTGTTTTATGCTCAAATGACCTACACAGTGAGTTTTTGACTATTGTTTTCAGTTTCTCTGTTCAACAACCAACATACGTCTGCCTCATATTAACATTCTGTCTACCCTGATATACAGGGTGTTTCAGAAAACATGGGCCAACGCTCGGGGGCAGATTCCTAACCCAAAAGCAAGATTATTTTTTCATATTAACATGGGTCAGATTTCGCTTCGTTTCTTAGTTATAGGGTGTCAAAGTTTTAAAATAAAATATGTTTTTTCCAAAAATCCAGATTTTTACTCAAGGGAATTAAATAAAATTTGGACAACTAACTATTTACAACCGAATACACATTCCAAGGTATTATTATGTTGAACATGAATTACGGGACCAGACTTACTTGCAAGCGTTTGGATTTAATCAAAGAAAAAATTGGTTCTTCGTTGAGATGTCTAATTTATAATTACATGGGTTAAATTCTAGCTCAATTTTGATAAAAAATTGACATATTTTTTTCATTTTCCCTCGAGTTTTCGGTATTTTAAATGTAATATTAAAATAAACAATTATTTATTTATCTAGAATTAATTATGAATTGTAAACGTACCTACAATAAACAATTCGATTTGATAAACATAATATAATATTTTACAGGAAATGTAAACTCGTCCAAATATCCCTATGTATATGGGTGTTTTTCTTTGATTAAATCCAAAGGCTTGCAAGTAAGTCCGGTCCTGTAATTTATGTTCAACATAATACCTAGGAATGTGTATTCAGTTGTAAATAGTTAGTTGTCCAAATTTCATTTTATTCCCTCAAGTGGGAATATAGATTTTTGGAAAAAACACATTATAAAACTTTGATACCCTGTAGCTAAGGAACAAAGCGAAGTCGGACCCATGTTGATATGAAAAAAAAATCTTGTTTTTAGGTTAGGAATCTGGCCCCGAGCGTTGGCCCATGTTTTCTGAAACACCCTGTATAAAAATCACCTATTGCTGGGCAACTGAATTGAATTTTAAAATATTAAACTAAATGTGACAGTTCGTGAAATATTTTTGTCAAATATCATTCGAGACAATGGTCTGTCTTTTCAAATTTCTTTTCTCGATCTTGTATTTCCAAAAAATTAAAATTTATGTATCTTTATATCTTTGTTGCCAAAGATTGAACCTCTTCAGCTTTGTTGGATTTAATTAAGTCTCTTATGATGGAAATTCTTGGTCATTCACTAATATTTTAAAAATTTGAATAGTTACTATTGACTTTAAAATAAGGGCCCTCGAATGAAAAGCTTATAAAAACGGCTTTCTATAAATTAAGTACCGTTTTTAATGAAAATTTTAGTTTGCATAATTTTATATTTAGGAAATATTAATGACAAACAATTGCCTTTCATACATTTTTGCACAGAACAGATTATAAAGTGAAAATAGAGAATTCTTAATTTTGTGATTACATTTAACAACTTAATCTGATATGGTTTACTTTATTTTTAATATAAACCCTAACATTTACATTTTCACTTGAATTAGTCACTCACACAGTGTAGCTTCTATTCCAAACTATGGTTCTAATTTCATCTTTGCATGTATTTACTACACTCCAAATACAATTTTCAACATATTTATCTTATCTCATTTGTACAATATATTACTGTACTGATAAATTCCGTGAACGAAAATAATGTATTCCTTTATGAGGAAATGTGTCATTCATAGTATTTTCTGTTCTCTGCAGTGCCGCACTGGAGGGCAGCAGGTGAGATATTTGTCGGTTTTCCTAGATGTTTTTGTTGTGGTACTCGTACCGTGTAAGTGTGTAAAATAGTCTGTTGCATGTTTTACAGTGATCCTAATTCAATTTTGGGTGGTGTTAGGTTACCACCCGACACCGAGATTATCAAGTATACCTCTTCGATTGTCGGCCCCAAAATACCAGGCACAACGAACCGAGGCCGCAAAAAGACTATATCATTGGATCCGCCTTCAGTCAGCGTCCATCCATCCCATTCCAGCACGGGACTTTTGATTGAGAGGACTAGTAAAAGACCTAAACTAAGCGTAAGTTTGGCAGGTTCTTCTTGTTTTCCAGTGATTTTAATAAATTTTGCTACTGCGATTAGGAACAAGACTTAACGCCACCTTCAACCCCATCCAACGACAGGGTAGAAGTAATAAAACTGCCAGCTACTAATGGAAGTCCTTCAGGAATTTCATCCATCTACAACAGTTCCGAATCAGCAGGAGAGGCTCCTTTGAATTTATCACTGAAGCCTAGCACCTCCACTAGTTCGAGCTCGTCACTTAACTCTCTGAGCAATATGTCTGCCAATATCGGTGTTGACCGTATATGTGAGTATGAAATAACATTTTTTTTGTATTGTTGTAATGACCAATCTTTATTGACCTGTCTTTTTTTAATGACATGTTAAAAGTAGTAACTACAAGGTTATAATAATAATTGTTGCTATTTTTATTGATCACTTGGACATATGCATGTTTAGGACAAGTCGATATTACAAAAATGTTACAAACATTTGGAAGCCAAGTAAAACTACTCCTATAAGTTTACACAAGTATTTTAACAGAATAATCACAGTGTAGTAAGTTTTCTTTAGCAGCAACTTTTTACATTAATTTTAAAACTAATTTTATGAATTTATGGTGTGGGGGTGGTAGATGATTTTTAAACTTTATTTCCGTATGCAATTAGACCAGGGCGGATCTGTCGAAATATCCCACTTCTTGGATGTAGGAGGGGGCAAGCTAATTTTTGCTGGAATACCTTCAGTACAACTCACATAATAAAAGTGTAGATCCATAGATCAGGGCGAGGTCCAGAACATTTTCAAAACTACAAAAATGTTTTTCAAATGGTTTTTGAAAATTGAAATCGATTGATTAGGACGGCCACAGTAAATTTTTAAAGTTAACACTCTTTTTTGTTATTTTTAAACAATTAGATTACGTTTATCAATTTGCAATTTAGTTTTTTTTCCAAAAATTAGTTTTAAAGTACTTGGAAAGACGCTTCTTTTAAAAAAAAAGTTAAATTCCGTTTATTGGTTCTCGAGACATAAGCTGTCAAAGTTTATCGGCATTTACCGTTAATTTATAAACAATGTAGCAATAATATTTGATCCAATGGCTTCGTTTTTCCGAGTTCTAAGCTGGAAAAAATTTTTATATCCATAAGTTATTAGCAACATGAATAAATCAGCGGAAAAGCTGTCGCTCGCACTCGCAAAAAGTGATTCAAAACACGGAAAAGTGGGGTAGGGGGCTCTCCCTCCAAGACTGAATTTGGAAGCTCAAAATGCGAAAGTACGAAAAAAATTGCATTATCTCGGCTTCTAATGGACCAATTTCGACCTTTTTTTTTATCCGATGTCTCGCAAGCCAAGGAATTCGAATATCGTTAATGCCAACTGTCTAACTTGCACATATTTTGTTATAAACGAAGTTTATTATTTATGCATTAAATATACTGTATATTTTACCCTTGTATTTTTTCAATGAAAAAAATTTTTTTACGTGTATATTTCATCACTGAATATGAATGTATTTAGTTATAATTATTACAATTATTTAAATAATTTTTGTTTAAACAAATTAAAAAAAAAATATTTGGAAATTAATTTTTTTGTTAAATACACAAAATTAAGAAAAATTAGTACTTTACAATTACAATTTTTGCAAAAAACTAAACCAAATTGATAAATGTTATCTAATTGTTTAAAAATAAAAAAAAGAGTGTTAATTTTAAAAATTTACTGTGGCCGTCCTAATCAACCGATTTCAAATTTTCAAAAACCAATTGAAAAGTTGAGCGGTCTTCTCTATGTGAAAAAGTTTTCAAGTATCTGGATGCTTTATTTGAGGCTGTGAACATTTTGAAAATTTGAAAATATTTTTTTCAAAAAATTATTTTGCGAAAACTATCAAGCCGATTTTAATGAAATTTGGTGTGTTGTTTTATTATACTCTAAATTTTTTTTACCAAAATTGGAATGCCTAATTAAAATATTTTTAAAAAATTTTCCAAAAAACTTATTTTGCCTTTTTTTCTTCAATTATTGCTATTTTGCAACATTGGTAATAAATTTAAACATTTTTAACTTAAAGTATATTGTGCAAAATTCAATTCTAAAACTTCTTTCCTCTTCAATATTCTTCCAAAATGCTTAGGTTCCAAGATATAAGTAAGAAACTCAGATAAAATAGGTATTTTTTAAATATTTTTACAATTTTCCGGACCTCATCCAGACCTAGGGATCTACACTTTTATTATGTGAGTTGTACTGAACGTAATCCAGAAAAAATTTGCTTGCCCCCTCTCACATCCACCTCAAAACAGATCCGCCCTGGTCTAAATGGAGATTGTCAAATGTAGTAGTTTTATGGTTTTGAATATTTTTCCATTGATTTTTTAAAATTATCTTGTGCATAATAAAATTTTATATGTTAAATATATAGAGAAAAGAAAACAATTTATAGTTATTGAAATACGATCTATATACAGGGTGTTTCATAACTCTACCGACACAGAGCAGGCACATGTAGAGGATCTTAAAATATGCCGATTTGTTTTATAACATTTTTTTCTGGGATGTACCATTGAAGAGATGTTGGGCTCTGAAGGTGAGCGTTAAATTTTTGAAAAACGATAACATTTCAGCAATGCCTTAACATAGAGCAATCAAATTTGGTACATGATTTGTGTTTATTGTTATCTTTAATTGGTAGAGATATGAATTTGTTGGAAGCCCAATAAAGGCCGGACTAGGGGTAGGGCACCCTTAAAATGATACTGATTTTTTTATCAGTATGCCTGTTATTAAAAAGTTTTACCAATATTACAGGAAATTTAATTAAAAACATAAATAACAGTTTTTATGAAAATCAGCATTTTGTGAAACTGTGTTATTACTGATTGAATCGGTCAAAAAGTAAAATATGCAGTTTTACGACTAGTAGGCTATGATTTCATGTATTTTTTTTGACGTTTACAAAGACTGAACATTACAACCATCTTGGAAAATGCATGTTGTTAGTATTGGGGTTGTGTGAGGGATTTTGTTGGGATTGTCGATGAAATGTACAGAAGTATAGTTTTTTTCATACTTATAGTAGACATAAAAAATTTCAAAGCCTGCCGGCAAGTGTGATAGGGGGAGAGTAGGGCAAGACAATTTTTAAATGTTTGTAGAAAATAAATGTTATAACAGCTAATTTATTTCACAAATCATAATGCTCTTATCAGGTATACTCATCTAGATAAATTGAATACAAAATTAATGAGAAATAAAGTGATATTAATTACATATTTTCAATTCAATTTAAAGGTTGCTCCACTTTACCCTAGGTGGGCAGGATCTTGAATCGCCAGATGTGGGCCCTGTGTTCAGTGGCGGTTTTACCATAAGAGCTGCGGAGCTGCAGAACACATAAAATTTTATGTATTTAATCATATTAAATGTCAACAAAATATTTAAAGAATCCAAATGTACTCGCGCTAAAATAAATCTAGGAGCTTATATTATTATTTATTGCGACGCGAGCTACGCTCCTTAATATATGCAACCTCATATACACAACGTGTGGACAGCGAACAATTATATGCGTCCTTTGTTTTTATTGGCTGATACACGGAGATAGGGGCTTTTGCGGCTGCAATAGTCACAGCGCTGCAGTCTGCACTCTGTAGTAAATGCAGTAATATTTCGTACGTGGTATGTGGTGGTTTATTTCTGCGAGCGGCACGTGTGAATATTTTCGTTTAGGCATCTACGGATATTATAGTTATTAAAATGAATAGCGTTTCGTTTAAAAAAAAACTTTGGTTCTCTGCCTTATGAGGATAAACTAAAAATAAAAGAAGTAACAGTTATAAAAAAACAATAATGTATACACAAAAGCAGAGTGGGTGTGCGGGTGTGATTTAAAAAATTTACTGTTTTGTTTTCCGTGCTTACTTTTCGGTGGGGATAAAGCATGGACAATATACAGTGTGAAAGATTTAAGTCATTACGTCTTTAGGTAAAATAAACATAAGAAGTCAGTTAGATTCTGCATATTGGGATAATATACGGAAACATATGAACAGGTAATGAAAAATCGTCATGTATTATTTAAAATCATAGATTGCATAAAATTTTGCGGAGCTTTCGAATTAGCACTTCTCGGACACGACAAGACAGAAAATTCGGACAACCCTGATGTGTTTCGTGGACTCATAAATTTTAGTGTAGATCTTGACGACATTTTAAAAGAACATCTAGCCACATTGGTATAACCGGGATTTTCTGTGATTGTACCGGGAATTAGCTGTATGGTCCCGGATTTCGGATTTGCACGTATAACTCCCGGAATATAATATAATGTACATATATATAAAAAAAGATAAAGAAAAAAATCATAACACGCCGAGGAAAATTAAAATTCGTTGAATCGTTGGTAAATTTCACAAACGATTTTTTTTATAAACAATATTCAATAATTTAATAAAATATATTTAGTTTATTCCAAATTATTATACCATCAGTAGGTAATTCGTAAATGGATATTTCAAAAAGGTATCAATTTCAAAAATCATTCTTGTGAAAATCTGTATTTTTTTTATAAATTCATTGTTCCTTGAAATTCAGAAGTGCCAGGAAAACGCGTGACCTTGAAAATTTTAAAATTTTTCGTCTGCGGCGCCATTTACAGACTCCGGGCACTTAATATCCCGGAATTCAATTCAACAAATGTAACAACCCTAAGCAGAACACATTCAATCAATGTTCACGCGCCGCCACTGCCTGTGTTGCCGATATGTAAAAATATTTCCTAAATGAATAATTGCTAAATTGAATGAAATTAATTTATTCAGGTATTTACGTTTAAAAAAAATATTAAGTTATGTTCTGAAAGTATAATAATATGCTGAATTTGCATACATTTATTTAAAGAATAATTGCATTATTCACTTCATTTTTGCAATGTATGTTGTCCAATTTTAGTATAATACTAACTCGCAAAAACATTTGGCAACACAGCTGGGCTGACAACAAAATATATTCTGAACATCTCTCTAAGACGTACGTTGTTCTCAAATTCTTAATGTGAGACAGAGACAATCAACAATTAAGTACACATGGTGCACTTATTACTTTAAATTTCTGATAGTTCAATTTGCGCGGTACAGGGCAGGAGTTGGTGCTGTCATTCTTATTTCTTAGAATAGAGTTTTGAGTAGTGATTTTTGTTTTGTTACAAGTTTTTTATTGGATAACTTTTGTAATTCACTACAATTGTTTTCAATTTATAGCCATTGTGTAGTAGTGTTTGTTGTGAATTGTTTGAAGGGAGACTTAAATATTATATTCTGTAAACTTTGCCTAAATAGGACCCTGTTCTGCTGGGCAGACAAGTATTTACGACCCCGTTTTTTTTTTTTTATTTATCAAATGATGCCTCAAGGGATGCAAGCATCCATAACAGGCATTATAGTTTTTTTTTTGGTTCACACAATACAATGTGTTACAATTTAAAAGAAAGTATTCTCAAGATATAAGACATTCAATACATATACGACGTACATATCAATTCACATTTACACACACATATATATACACATATATACATATATACATACATATACACACATATACACATACACATCTATTACATGACAACATCAACTTATATATCATCTAAATTTACATTAAGTATCACAATATATCAGTTTCTGACATCCAATATATACTGCTTCATACATTTTTTAAAACCTTGTAGGCTAGGGTTGTTTTTTAATTGAATTGGAAGTTCGTTATACCAATTTAGTGGTTGACAAGTAATTCTTTTGTTCCCAAAATTTGAATGAGTTGTTGTTATATGATAATTTCTATTTATTCTAGTATTATACCCATGTATTTGATTATTATATGTAAGTTTTATATCGGTTTCAAGGAGTTTATTCTTTATTTTGTATACCAGAAGGATACTTTCGTATGTTGTGGTTTCTCGTATATTCATTATTTTTAGTTCACTATACAATTGTTTGGTATTTGTACGGTTAAATTTGTTAAAGAGAGTTTTTATAAGTCTATTTTGTGCTACTTGTAGGTTATCTAGATCCTGTTCTCTTGCCCTCCCCCAAAATTGTGTTAAATAGCTTAGATGAGACTTAACATGAGCGTTGTAGATTAGGTATTTTGTGTTTGTATTCAATCTAAATGAGAATTTTCTGACATGATAGCTTAATTTTCTCAACTTGTTACATAATTTCTCAGTGTGTTGTCCAAAATTTAGTTTATCATCAATAGTTAGCCCAAGGTATTTCATATGTTTGACTTGCTCTATTTCAATGTTATAAATTTCAAGTGATAGATTATTATTTGTTTCCTTTGGGTTAAAGATCATATATTTACATTTGTTTTCGTTCAACTTTATATGATTTTTGTCAGTCCATTGGCATATTTGATCCAGATCCTTTTGAGCTTTTTTGTAAACATCCCCTAGCCTACCAGAGTAGAACAGTGCCGTGTCATTGGCAAACAAAGTTATTTTGCCACATAAACTATTATCACAGAGGTCGTTAATATAGACTAAGAACAGTACTGGTCCCAAAACCGAGCCTTGCGGGACTCCACTTTTTACCAAGAGTTTCTCACTTTCCACTCTGTTCACAACTGTCATTTGAATTCTGTTTGTTAAGTAGTTAGTAAATAAATGATGAGCTGGTCCTTCTATTCCAAGTTGTTCCATTTTTTTGAGAAGAATTTGATGATCTACAACAACAAAGGCTTTACATAGGTCAAGAAAAACAGCCATTACTGTGTTTTTATCGTGTATTTCCTTGTATGTGTATTCAAATATATTTGTTATTGCTGTAAGGGTGTTTTTCTTTTTGTTTGTTACTTATAAATTCTATGTCGTATAGATATTTTACCAATCTTGACTTTAGAACAATCATATTTTTGCAAAAACAGGTAGAACTGTTATGTTCTTTTGTCTTTATCGGCAATATAAAAGAGTTTTTTATTTCTACAATATATATGAAAAGAACTATACCGAAGAAGATTTCCTGATCATTTGATATCATTTTAAGGGCACCCTACCGCAGACCTTATTGGACTTCCAACAAATTCATATTTTTACCAATTAAAGATAACAATAAATGCAAATCATATATCAAATTTAGTTGCTTTATGTTAAGAATTGCTGAATTATTATTGTTTTTCAAAATTTAATGCTCATCTTCAGAGGCCAATCTCTTCACGGTACATCCCAGAAAAAAAATGTTACATAACAAATCGAGATATATTAAGATCCTCTACATGCGGCATCATTTTCTATAATTATTTTCCATCCTTTGTCAGTGGCACCGTGTTCTAATTAATAGAAAGTTTTAAGTTACTTATGGTACTGTTATTTGTATAATGCTTTATTTTCATATTACCTTACATATAATAAATTTTTATGACACGAAATTACTAAAGACAATAAGATAATGCACATAATTCAAAAATGGTATCCCTTGTTCAGGAAATATGTTTAAAAATGCTTTTTTGTGCAAACTGTCATGCAATTTATTATATGAATCTTCAGAAAACATGTTATTTTCAGAATACACAATAATTACTAAACTGAGATTCTGAGATTTTGAAAATCTGAAATCTTGGGATTTGGCTGCCTAGTTCTTTTGTAATCTTATTTATTATTTCACTACGCTTGTTCTCTTTAATGCTTTCAACCACATTTTGATTGATTGTAATATTATTTTAAAAAATGTGGCCTGATTCATAGATAAATAATAATAAAAAAATTGATTGTGAAACAATTTCAGCCCGAAGAAAACCTGGTCCGAAACCTCGTAGGGTGGTGCCTGCAGGTTCTCAGGTACCTCCTGCCGCGCCAAGTACTTCTCTGACCCAGATGTTCGCCACAGCCGACTCACCGAGACCCCCGAGCAGAAACGAGGGGTCAGATGGGGGTAGTTCCACTTCATCAACTTGTACTTCCTCGGCTCCACTCGGCACCACCATTTCGCCCATCTCGGGGCCTAGTCAAAAGGAGGGACGACCTAGGAATCTTGGAAGGGGTGTCAGTAAACCGAAGAAGAACACCGTCGCCTCACTTCTTGCCCAAAGCAGAGCTCTTGGTAAGTTGTCACTATAACTTTATTACCTATTAGTTACTCACTTTTCATGGAGTCCTCCTGATAATCTCGGTTATTTTACATTAAAACGATTTGACATTTTTAGCAAAACGATTATTTTAATTTAACTAAATTTGATTTTAGTCTTAAAATTAAAAAAGGACTTTTAAAAAAAATCGTTAGTGGTTTTTTTATCTTAAAGTTAGTAATATTTTCTACTTTGTCATCCTTAGAAACTCTTCTGTACCAAATTTGAATAAAATACCTTCAAAAGTGTTCGAGGTATGGGTACTTGAATATTTAGTTTTTTTTTAATTGAGCATAACAGTTAATTTAAAAACCATCATAGATAAACGCTTCCTTTCACTTTTTGTTTTATATTAAGGCATCAAACTCTTGAGAAAAAAAATTATCTTGTCCTTATAAAAGAATAGCTTTCACATTTATTGAAAATATTAACATCAAGTAATACCTTGCAAAAAAAATAGCAAGATTATTCTAAATAGCTCTATGCTATAGTCTAATCGTCGATCAACCATCAGAATGTTGACAGACCATGTACGATTGATCGACACAGAGTCCACAGCTTTGATATTTTCATTTGTTCGACTTGTGCGGGGACGCCCCGTGCTTTCGACATCGTGCAAGCTGTCTCGTCCATCACGAAACTTCCCAAACCACAGGAACACAGTCGGACATGCTACATGTGGGTCATTCCATGTCAAATTGATCAATGGTTGGAATCGACCCCTTTCGATTTGGACTAAATTTGTTCAAACGTTTTCCTTTATCATAAAGCAAAGATCTGCCAAAGGAAAAAAATTTAAAAATTTTAAAAGTTGAAAATTTCACTATTTTTTCAATTTTTCGAGTGTATTTTTTAAATATCTCGAAAACTATTATAGTTACACAAATGAGCTTGTGTTTGTTTTAAAGAAGATACTTGGGTCTATGAAAAAAATATATATATTCCGAAAAATAAATTTTGAAAAATGAAAAATTTGTAGAATTTTGAATTTTTAAAAATGGACTATAGACATTAAATTTTTGGCTCAATTTTTTTTATATAATACCTTCAAATGATCTTAAAAGGTCCTGAAATTTTCAGTTTAATTTTTTTTTTTTTCAAAAATACGAATTTTTTTTTAATCGCTAAGTCAAGTAAAGTTAAGAAAACATGTAGTTTTGTAATTTTGAGCAGGAAAAAGTTCATTTTATGACATAAGTACGTAAAAACAGAAACTTAACTAGAATTGAATTCTTATTTGTTTAGTAATATGTAGATTGAAAATCAAAACAGTTAAGGCGTGTCATATTCTGCCATCTATGTTTTTACTACTAAAGTTTTCCTAGATAATTAATATCGGGGATCTGCCGCCAGAGCTCTCTATAATCCGTGATAGTTATCTTTCTAGAAATCAGTTTGTTATTTACTAGTAAATAAACTTGAAAAATTGGATAAATATCTTTGCTTTATGATAAAGGAAAACTTGACCAAATTTCGTCCAAATTGAAAGGGGTCGATTCCAACCATTGGTCGATTTGACATGGAATGACCCATACTCCTCACCGTACGCCATTTGTAGCAGTTGATTTGCATCAATGGCTGTTTTACTGGTTTTAAAACGAAACTTGATTGCTGTATGCTGTTTAATGTGCATTTACATGGCAACTACTAAAAAGTCGCTTTACGCAAATCATTATAACTGTAGATACACGTATACTGATGAATATTTGTTCGGTCATTTGGAGGGCTTCCCACTTCGTAGTTCTGTTGGCCGCACATAGATAGCGCCGCATAAAATCAGTCTTAAAACTTAATAGCAGGACTGTTTATGTTTATAAATTTTAAATGCTTGTATACGTGTTAGAAAAAAATTCAAAAGCTGCCCTTTTGCAGGTATCAAGCCTGTGCCCATGTTAGACCCCAACGCGAGCATGAACCAGCAGATGAACCTGTTGAAGTCGAATATCCTGGCAGCACAACAGTACATTTCCGAGGCGGGGGGCGACGAGAAGGCTTTAAATAAGTTTTTACAGGAAAAATTTAAGGGTACTTTAAGCGATTCTAGTACGGTAGATGCCACATCAGATTCAGATAATTTAACTGATTCTAATCATACTGATTCAGAGATGGAAGCTGAGGTTGCTGCCAAGAAGCAGAAGCAGTACGACGAGCGGCTGCTGAGAGTCCCCCTTGAAAAAGGTCAGTATTGAACGATAAGTTACTAAAATTCACAAAATATGTAACCATCCGGTTGATGGTCCATTTCTGATTCCAATTGATTTATGTCTAGCCAAAAGCCTTGTACTCCTAATATGAATATAGAGAAAGTCAGTTTTGAACATAGTATACAGAAACACTTAGATATATTTCTTTTTGTTTAAATTTAAATTAATTGCTCTAAAAAATGTATGCATTGATGCCAAAGCGACTCCAAACTTGGGAGTTTCGCACATTTTTTTTAAGCATACCTCTCAGTGGTATTTTTATCACTATAAATCAATTATATTTTCAAGTGACCAGGATAATTAACAACTTTGACTCCAAAAATCTCTAGAATTAGAGAAAGAATTTACAAATTGGCAACATGGTATAGCCTTGCTTGGGCATATGTAGGTATACTCCAATGCCAAAATAATAGGCAATTTTTACTATTTCTTTATTTTCTTATATGTTCTGTGGTCTACAAGATTACTTCTTGATATGTCACCCTGTCTCAGTTTGCAACTCAGGTGTGTCAATACTTATCATATGCCTACAAATAGCAAATATTATTATTATTTTCCCATTTTAGTTTTTGCAATAAGTGGTGTTATAGTATTTCTGAAGTCAGTTGAACAAGTATAAAAACGCCTAGCAATAAAATTTAAAGAGTTTCATAGGTGTCCCTAAAAAAGTTTTCTACTAAAAATAAAAAATTATAATAATTTGTATATAATGTGTAGAAAATTTCATTTGTTCAACAACTTATTTTAATTATTTATGTCCTCAACAATTTTATTATATTGATGGTAAATTTTTGTTTTGTTCCATTTCAAAAGGTCTCCAAAATGCCATGTTAGTAAACAAAATATTCCTTTTATTTCTCCCTTTCGCAATTGTAATATCATTGATTAATAGAAAGTGCCTATAATAAATTAAAATTATCTAAATCACACCAAATTCCACATTGCTGTACTGCACTACTAGGCAATTTGTCAACCACTTGTCAACAACTGAGATTTATTGCCCAGTCGCTCAGTGCCGCTGTGTTATACACCATTTGCCTACGCGAGAATTCTTCAACTGGTCGTATACATTTTTACCACCTGCACGTTTAGTTCGACCAGATGTGTATGGGTATGGCTAAATAAATATGGGAACAAGTTTTTCAAATATTTCAGTGCTGAGTTACTGTGACCGAACCTGGTACACACTGCCAACCTCTTGATTCTTCAATGAGATGGGAAAGACTATACAAATGGAATTGGTGCAGGTGTTAGTCACCAATGGACGAACAGGGTAATTTTTAACAACCAACTTTGACAAATCAGGAATATTGTAAGATAAATTATGCCGGCTAAATGACTGGTCACTTAAAAATCGGTAACTTACTGGAGAATATGACCAGTCACTTTGGTAGACTATCAGCCATTTTGAAATTTCAAAAACTATTTCTTTAAATTGGTCTCAGTATAATGACGTGATATTAAAAATATAATTATTAGCAATAATTGCACAAAAGAAAAAAGCTGAATACATGTAATATGTAGTGGACAAAATGGCTAAAGCTCTCAGTGATATACAACTCTTCACTTGTCACCGTAACATTGTGATCTGAACCCCATTGATCTAATATGGTCGAATTAAAAAAGTGTAAAAATACTTCTGTTGGACACAATTAATCGGGGTAATTACGGAAATATGGAATAAGTGCACTATGTGCATACAAAAAGAAAGAATGGTGAATGTAGGACCTTGGCACAAAAGTTGAAGTTATAATAATACCACTTATATTTTTAGACGACGGCAGCTATTAGCTTCATTGGCAGTGATAGTGATAGCGATAGTAGAAATTAATTCTTTCACTAATGCTTATAAAGGTTGTTTCTAATATCTTATCAGTGGTGCATCTTATATTTTAGTCGTTTATACTTTTAGCAGTTTTGGTTTTTTGCTCATTTCGCATTGCCTTACTGTTATGGCACTATGTAAATAGACTTTCCGCAGGAGCCACTTGCCCAGTTAGTTAATTTTGCTGGCGGCAAAGTGCCATAAAAAAAAATAAGAAATAAATAAATAAAAAAAAGTGTAGGGGAGTGGTAGTAGGTCACAATTTCTGAATACATACTCATACTTTATAGTCCGGGAGCCAGCTGCAAAACCGTTGAGTTATTTTCTAGATAAAAAATTTGAGTTTACATGACAGAGAGTAACTGAGGACAGAAATGAGACTGAGCACTGACAGGTAGTGGAGGGGAGAGCGAAAATGTAGCATGTACGAGACGAGATATTAATAAAATATTTTTTCACAATTTACAACAGAATCTTATGAGAATGCAGATTTTTTTTGGTCTTTCCACTTAGAATCCGCAACAATTGACGAACAGTTTCCACCGCAACTTGTGTATAAATAGGAAACCGATATCTAAGGAACCGTATGACAGCTTGTAGAAATCGATTAGGTACTTGTAAGATACATAATTTATAATAATTCTCCTTCAAACTGCTTTTGTTGACTAACTTATCCTCCATATGCGTGATAGCGGCAACGCCGCGGTCTTGAGGGTAGCGTATTATTTGGAATTCGCAGGTGTCCAAACAAACAGAACGATCGAACGGGAGTCAGCGAACGCCGAGCCGAGCCGTTACCACCGAGATCTGGGTGATAACGGCCGAGTGCGCTAGCCAAGTGCAACGTTGCCAAATCTAAAGGCTTACTACTTTAGTAACTAGCGAATCTACAGATACTTTCGTTAGACTTTAGACATACCTCCGTACCCGATAAACCCCCTTTAATATGCATGGTAACAAATAGACGCTTTGTGTAGAATATTATTTAAAAAACTAATTCAATGAATATTCAGTTAAGACGCGAATCAGACCGATGCACAGTCATGAATATTCACATAATTACAAGGTTATGCAAAAATTTTGAGTAGCTAAAACGGGTTTAAATGATAGCATATTATGTGCTCAAATGAAAAAATTTCGTCAAATATCAGTACATGGGTAAAAAAAGTCCGTTCGTCGAGAGAAATATACAGGTAACTCCGTTGGTTGCAACGTAACATGAGGGATCTTTTGCTCGTATTTTGCAGGAAAAATTTTTTTATCAATCTAAAATGGGTTCAAGCGATAGTTTATTGCGTATACAAAGCAAAAAATATTGTCAGTTGGCAGTCGTCGGGGAAAAAAGTCCGTCAGTCGAGAGAAATATACAGGTAAATCTGCTGGCCGCAACGTAACATGAGGGATCTTTTGCTCGTATTTTGCAGGAAAAAATTTTTTATCGGTCAAAAATGGGTCCAAACGATAGTTTATTGTGTATACAAAGCAATAAACATTGTCAGCTGGCGGTTCATGGGTAAAAGAGTAGTCAGTTAATGCGAAAAACATATCATTCAATGTTCTCACGAGCGCGCTGCCGCAAGGGGTTTGATTGCCTCAGCTGACGATCTTATTACCAACAATTGGCCAGCTTACTATTTTTATGGCCCTATATGCACTATAAGTTGCAATATATTTCAATTTCAGTACATAAAAAATAATTTTCAATTATTTTTTCATCTCCCTGTTCCGACAGTCAGCAGACGTACTAATTACTATCAATGAGCCAGCTGACTGGCTTTAATCGACTAAACACAGCATCAAATGCCTTATACTTGAGTTTGGTCCATTAAAGATTACAAATTTTTTTTAATATCCATACGCGTTGGAGGGTAGGGTGGTACCTGCCATTACCGCTCTAGGAGTTTCATATCACTGCCTGACCTTAGTTGGGGTAAAAACTGTCATGTAAACTCAAATTTTTTATCTAGAAAATAACGAATTCTGCAGCTGGCTCCCGGACTATTAGTACAAATAAAAAAGTACCTATCTACCTGTTTCATATACCAAGGTGAATTTAATTTGTAAGAAAAATTAGTTTTTACCAATTAATAATTTTCAAACCCTCTAAAATGATGATAATCAGATTCTCTGCATGCTTTACCTACTATTTTGGCACTGGAGTATTAGATATATTTCATGATAATTCCAGTCAGAGATGTCTTTTAAAACGTACGTTTATAATATTTTGAATAATTAACATAACTTTGTGTTCGTTATTTTGGTCGATTAGGAATTATAATAGGAAAGAAGGAGGGCCCCTAAGGCCGATTTTTGACTGAAAAAATCTGAAAATTTTTTTTTAATACCTACTAGGAATACTGAATTATTTCCACCCTAAATGGACCAACCTCCTCACCCTCCTTTCCCCTTCCACTCGCTTAAATGCCAGGGAAACCATCACTTATTAGAGAAATCTTTAAAGAGCTTAGAAATGCGAAAGACATTCAATTCCTATGAAACTTACATATGAAGAGTTTTTTGAAATGTCTTAAAAATGCATGAATTTTTTGTAATGGGGTTTTTTGGGTCTATGATTACGAATCTGGACTTGAAATCACGAAATTCAAAATGGCGGATTCAATATGCCGGACAAAAAATTAAAATGTCTTTAAATTGCATGAATTTTTGTGTAGTTGGGTTTTTTGGGTCTCCAATTGCGAATCTGAAGGCAGAAATTCAAAATGACGTATTCCATATGGCGAACAAAAAAATTAAAAAGATCTTCATAATCCTGAAATATTTGCTTATAGAAACTTTCTTGGATCACTGATTGCAATTATGAATCCAGAATCACGAAATTCATAATGGCTAATCAAATATGCACAAACATGTACATATAATTATTGATTTTTTCTTTTTCATTTTATTCAATGTAAATGTGTGTCATCTCATTTAAGGGAGTGAAGAGAGAAAGTAGGGTGAGGGGTTGGTCCGTTTAGGGTGGAAGTGATTCAGTATTGCTAGTAGGTGCTAAAAAAAATTTTTCAGATTTTTTCTTAGGGCTTAGGGGCCCTCCTCCTTTGTCAATACGAGTTATGAAAGATATCTGTGAGGCAAGGAATAATGTAAATGTTTAATTCGAGTAAACTGTAACTACATTTCTTCTATTTTGTTAGATACTACATAAAATCATTTAAAAAATTATCTTTTTTGTCCTAACAGGTTGGAAAAGGGAGACGGTGATTAGGGGTTTGACGAAAAACGGTGGCATAAAAGGCGACGTTACTTACAATGCCCCTGACTCTGCGAACAAATTCAAACAAATGTCCGACGTCACTCAGGTAACGATAAAAATGTACACATTTTTTCATTTTAATTTACCGCCTCTAATTTCAGTATCTGGATTACCAAAAGAACAGCGAACTGTGCAGAGACAACTTCACTTTCAGCTGTCGAGTAATCCTGGGCGATTATCTGCAACCCGTACCCCCTGAAATGCAAACCGACGGTACCGAGTTTATATATCTCACCGAGGAGGATGTGAATCGAAGGTATGGGTAAACATTTGTTGAAAATTGTGTTTTATCTAACATTATTTCTGTAGGTTAGAGGAGCTGAGGGCAGCGATGAGGACGAGTCTGCCTGTCGAACAACGAATCGAAATGGCCAGGAAGCAGCAGGCTGCCAGGGCCGCCGCTAGGTTAGACAGGGAACAGGCGAGGCTGTTCAAGGAGATGGAGAGGACGGAGAGGCAGGAGCAGGCGAGACGTGAAAGGGAGGCCAAGACTCAGCAGATACTGGAGGTACGTGATGAATTTATTTATGTGACGGTGTTACTGATGTATTTTTGAAGGAGGTAAATACTGTTATTGTTTCTGGCTGTTGTATGTTTCACTTGCCAATTTTTTTTTTACTTGTTCTCGCAGTTATTTTTCTAAAGTCAAAGAGAGGTTAAAAAATGAAATCAAAAATTAATATCACGAAACTCTTAACTGTTTATTAGCAGTTCAAAACATTTATTTCAGAATTTTTTCATAGCATTTGCTATCTTTTGTTATAAATCATAGATATGAATTAATTTGTTCATGCAGAGTTGTACAAAAGTGTTGAGAGGACATGGTGACGTCAAAAGTTATAATTCCGATATTTTAAGTTGGAATTATATTAAACCCAAACAATAGGTCGAGATTACAGTAATATGGAAATGAAAAGTAAAGATTACCTTAATCTTTAAAAATAAAAAAATTGCTCTGACCCTTATTCCTATATAAAAAGTTGGGATTGCACTAATTCTCCCATAAAAAGTAGGATTACTACAATCCCAATAGAAAAAACTTTACTTGCACTATTTCCTACATAAGGAGTCAGGACTATACAGGGTGATTCAGAACTTATCCAAAAAAATTTTTGGATGTACAGGAGACTTACAAATACAATTTTGTAAAGAAAAAATCATAAAGGGCACTTCGGAAATGATTTAAAAATACACTTCTGCACGGCACTGGAAAGTGGTCTAGTGTAAAACCTGACCTAGCACAATGTGACTGGCATGGCACAAAGTATGATAAAAACCGACAAAAACTTTCGTAAGGAAAGAAATAAATAGAATTTTATAGCACCTATTTTATATCAGCAAATTTAACTACTTTTGCTGTTATTGTTATGATTAATTAATAAAATTAATTTGTGGTTTTAAATAATAAAATAAATTGACATACCTGATATTACAACAACTGTTCAAAATTTTGTCCACCAACGTGTAAACACAAATGTTGTCTTGCTTCACCATAAATTTAATTCGAGTTGCTATACACACCAGCTATTTTTGACACTAACTACTAAAAAAACTATTGTAAACACCATCACAGTAAACACTATCCCAAAGATGACGATTGTTAAACCGGATTTTAGTATTCGGAGTTGCTGAGGCCACGTGGCTCTCCACACGTATTGCGAATGACGCTAGAGACTACAGTTGTCCAGTTATGTAATGGTTGAATGTACTACAACTTCAATAATTTTTTTCTCGGAAACTATAAGGATTTTACAAAAAATTTATTTGTGAAACTGACACCATTTCTTACACCGCATCTATTCCCAAATTTTTTTGGATAAGTTGTGTATCACCCTGTATTTATTGTTTTTTTTTTTTAATTATATCACAGTGTAAATTGTCAACAACAACTTTGACAGAAATAAAAGCAACCTTAAATATTTGGAGAAAACAATTTATAGTACGAGATCCGACTGCGAGATTACTACGTTCATCTGTTTTTCAATCGAAATACAATTTTTATAAATAATTATGAATAGAGGAATATGTTTCTGCCGGGTTGCCTATCAAAATACGGTCGCAAGTATTTTTAATTAAAATTGAATTAATAAATTTTTTCCAAACAATTTCGTTCACTTGTTTTTAAGATAAATTATATATAATTCATTTCACAGAGAAGAAAGGTTGGTAAATGTAACATTTAAAAAAAAAAAGTCCGAACCGTCCGTGATTCAAACTGAGGACCTTCGGAATCGCTGTAGTGAGCTTTCAAATTGAGCTACGGTGGCCTACCGGTGGGTAAAGCTTTTACGGACTAATTGAAACTTTGGGTCTACGCAGATGTAAACAAATTAAGATTTATTGTTATAATATCGTCTCTAAAAGATCAGAACCGCCACGTAACGCCAAAATAACGGCTCACAGTGATCCGATCGGTCAGTAAAAAGCATCATTCAGGGCAACACATACTATTACCCCTAAAACACTAATCCTGTATAGATAAATCAGGATTAGCTTCATCCTGACTTTTCGTCTTTATATTATGCGACATCGACTTATAACTCAAGATTATATAAACCCTCTTTAAATTGTCGGGATTATACATTTTGACTACACTATGTCAGCGCTTTTATATAATTGTGTATTTATTAGTCGGTCTTTTTTTTGTTATTCACTCACTTTTTTTTATAAAACTTTTTCATATTTGATTTATGTTCCAATTAAATTTTTTCTTCTTTTAATCTTGCCAAAATTTCAAATCAAAATATTGAAGGATCAAATTTCTATTAATCTCACTTATTAAAATGAAGAGCAACAATCTTAAGATATTTTAATGAACTTTCAGGATAATAAGAAATTCATATTTAAAAAAAATATATCTAACTTGTAATTTTTCATTTTAACTGTGTTGTACCACCCAATGGTATAGAATATTTTATGGTTGATAATTAAAACAATCGGGGAAATTAAAAAATGGTTAATTTTCACAATTTTTGTCATTAAAAGCATGTTTTAGGCAGAGATTTATTTATTCTAAATACAGGGTGTTATAAAAAACCAGACACAATATCCCGGAATGATAACAAAAAAACTGTTTACATGTCACGGTTCAGTTTACGAGAAAATTTTATTTCAATTTTATAACATTTTGTTTTGTAATTTAAGTTATAGAGAAAAATGATGGAAACGTGGAGTAAAAAATTTTCAAATGACAAACCACGATTATTTTGTCGGCGGTATTTTGGCTAAACTTCTTATTAACAGTCAGTATATCGTGTTCCATTAAAAAATACATGTTTTATTAAAACTGAAAAACCGGAAGTAATAGAAAAGTGGCTTCTGCCACTGGAAAAAAAATTCTGTAGAAGATCTATTATTAAAAATTAAATAGTTTTGCAAATAAAATGACAGATTGAAATTAAAAATATATCTCTTAGATTTTTCTTGCAAATTGCATCTGTGACGTTAAACTACATTTTCTTGTCCTTGTTGGAAAATAAAGGAAGCCCCTAAAAGTGTCGGAAATTGGCCTGCCCTGTACAGGTGATTATGTGACTAAATATAAAAAAGAAATTCGTATGAACAAAGGTTCACAAATACTTTGTTTTTATTATACAGGGTGATAAAATTTTAGTTTGGTCATTTCCTGTACTATCTTATTGGTGGAATATTGTACCAGCCTGTATTGCATATTTAATACATTGTTTTAAAAATAAATTTTATATGAATATAAAATTATAATTTATGTTGTATACCCGCTAGGTGTACTGTTATAATGTGGAGGTATAGTATTACTTAGGAGAATAATAATAAAATTTTCTCACGTATTGGTATATTATTATCAGGGTAGAAAAAGGCTAGCATTCACCCTAGAACAGAAAATTCAAATAATATCTGAGATAGAAGGTGGAAAATTGAAATCGGACGTGTCTCGTGAACTCGGTTTGGCTAGTTCAACAGTAGCGACCATATGGAAGAACCGTGAAAGTATTATAAATGCTTATAACTTAGAGAGCGTTGAGCAAATGAGTTCGATAAATAATACGTTATATAATCCAAGCATTTCAGTGGTATGTCATGATGAATTTTTTAGACTTTTTTTTGAGAAAATTGGGACAGGGACTAACACAATGGCTTCGCTGATTTTGTGTATACAGGGTGTCCCACAAAGGGCGGTTGCTGGACCTTTTCGGTGTCATTGGAGTGAATGCATATTTTAGAAAATAATACTATCTTTTTTGTACTGTACCAGGTGTTCAAAAAGTTTGGAACCCCTACCTCTATCAGAAAATACTGCTCAAACAAAAAAATGATTAGGACAAAAGTCGCAGACACTTACGCTCAATCGTGAGCGACTGGAGCGCCCCGTTCCAATCGCACGCGAAAGCTTGTTAGTGTAAATGTATATAATCGCACGGTACTTAGACGTGTCAAATCCTGCATTATTTCGCCAGTTGTTTTCATGCGGAAATTTCACGTAGGGTAAAGTTTACTTCGATTTTCACACGGTCTTGTGGAGTTTACTCTTAAAAGGCGATAAGTACTTTTTAAAAATTTTTAATATAAACATAGCTACCTAGGATTCGCATATTTGTAAGCGTTTTTGTATTTTTTTATAGACTGCACGATATTGGTCAAGAGAAACATTTACAAATTTTATTGAGCTATATAAATCCTATCCATCTTTATGGAAGATTAAATCTAAAGAAAAAAAAAGGCCGCTTTTAATTTTATTTTTTTGTTTATAATTTGCTCCATTTCAGAACAAACCGTCTATAAAACTGTTGAAATTTTTAACACTCCACGAGCCACAACTATCGCACGAGAAACTTGACACTTTTCAATTTACACTAGCCGTGTTATCATGTCACATTTCACCGCGCAGGCAATACCGTGCGATTGGAGCGTGTCAATGTTTAACAACAAAGTTTTAGAACGCGACAGTCAGGATTGCGCAAAAATATGCGCGACTGGAACGGGGTGCTCCAGTCGCTCACGATTGAGCGTAAGTTTAAAGGTAGCTATTGGTGACTGATCATGACCTTCAAGGTCATTTAGAGCTCTACCTAAAAGTTTAAATGGAACCGTATATTTTTGCCCCCAAAAATGGAAACTTTTACGTTCAGATATGACCTTCAAGGTTAATAAATGACCCGATATTCTTGACTACGGAAATTGAGTGAGCGTAAAATCCAAAAATGACCTATACCATGTCTTTGACCTTGACCTAAAGGTAACTGTAACGTCAAACGTAAGCAAAGAACTTAAGTTTAATAATGCTCTTGCGAAAAAAGTGTAACGGGAAAAGTATATGCTCACTCAAAACCCTGCAACTTTTGTCCTAATCATTTTTTTGTTTGAGCAGTATTTTCTGAGATAGAGGTGGAGTTCCAAACTTTTTGAACACCCGGTATGTATTTCTCTTTAATAAATTTAATTGTCGCTGTGTATCTTAAAATGCTGTCATTCTTTGAATAATTGTTAATACGATATAGCCAACAGATGGATATCTAAGACAAGTTGTGTTTGAAAGATTTTTTGTTAGATTCTAATATTTTTTGAAATATTCATTTACATCTTATGGTACTGGAAAGTTCAGAATTGCCATTATGTGGCCACCACGTAAAAAGCGATTGATAAGATTCTATTTTTCTATGTAACACATGATGCCGATTAACTTAAGTAGTACTCTTGTATTTGAAATTGTTGAATGCTAGATATATCATCATTTTTCTTAATCACTCAATCATTAGATTTATTTCCTAACAGTATTGTCATTTATTTTTTTGCAGAACCATTTTGTTATATCGATTATTAGCTTTCGATAATCATTGCCTTTTGAAACTACTATGCCTTCACGAATTATCCATTTGCATGATTTTTAAATTAATTACCTTACAATTAATTGAAAATAATGCTTAAGCGCATGTCTTCTACATATAATTTTATTTAAATTGTTTCATAATTTTTCAATTTAACGGTTTATATCTCACATACAATTATTACTTTTCCAAACATAGAAGTTTTGTTTTTTTGGAAATTTTAAAGTCACCTCGAGATATAAATTGTTGAAGTATTTTATTGGTTATGTTTGTTGTTTTGCATGACAGGCTAAGAGAAAGCGACAGGAAGAGAACGAAAAGCAGAAACATGAGGATCAGCAACGTAAACAACAGGTATTGTTAATTACTTTATTTTTTTTATTTAAGAAAATTTCAGAATTTCATCGAATATACTGAACATTACAAAAAAAAACAAATATTGGCTATAATAGAAGTATTAAAAAAATATTTTTTCAAAATGAATTGTCCTAACATCTTGTTTTCAAGATACAAGATGTTAATTTTTTTTTCAAACGAATTTTTCAAATGTCTTAAAAGTATTGAAAATTTTAAACTTGATGTTTGAGAACTGTTAGTTCATCTAAAAATACTTTAAAGTTGAATTATTTTAGATTGTGATGGTCTGAGGTGTGCATATGAGTTTTATAAAATTTACAAAATTATAAAATATTTAAACATAAAAATATGTATCTTTTTTGGGGAATAATTTCAAGATTCATTAAATTATCACAATGGATACTACTTTTTCTCTAAAATTTAGGATTTAAATTAAATTTTGCAATAGTTGCATATTAGTAGAATCACGATCAATCGTGCACAAATTATTCAGTATGTGGCTAGGAACTTGTTTTCTGTTTTTTTTTTAAATACAGTGATACCTCTCTTAAGCGGATATTAGCGGTCAAACTATTTTTGTCTGCTCAAGAGAAGTTTCCGCCTAAAAGAGAGATGATTCGCATTTGTTTCGTCGTAGTTAATACACGAGCGTTTTCTATAACATGTACTTGTAGTAACATTAACACTTCTAAACATTTACCATAATTTCTCTTTGCAGCAAAAACTTTCAATATATTTATATTAATATTGCCTTCTACTAATGCAACATCAACATCTTCATTGTCAGACTATTAGTTTCCTACGATTTCCTTATTTGTAGTCATAGTTTGTGTTGCATTAAAGTCTTTTTGCACTTATAAATCATTGTCAAACAAAACAAAATCCTCTGGATCTACCAAGTCAGCATCCGTCTGTCTTACAAATCTAGAAAATGTGGCTATTTCTGACAACGGGAAGTTATCTTCTTCATCAAACTCTTCATCCTCGTCAACAACCGCGTTATGTTTAAAGCTGCATTTTCGGAAATAATTTTTAATTGTATCTTCACTCACTAGCTGCCATGTGAATTTATGAAGTAAGTCACATCCAAGATATTAATTGTTTTTCCCAATCGAGTAGCAGATTCTGCATTTTCCATGTTATTTATGATATGCTTCAAAATTCGACATCGGTAGGGCATTTTAAAGTTATGTCACTTGTGTCCAAGAGAGGATTGCTTCGTTTCTAGGAGTAAAATACGTGTCCGCGTCTTCTCAAAAAAGGGTCCGGTCAAGAGAGATATGCACTAACTGTTCGCCTACAGATGATAGAAAATTAGCAATACTAATGAAAGAAAGGAAAATAATAGATTCAAAATATTATTAAAAAATTATTACTAAAAATTAATACAATAACTCATGTTTGAAACTAGATAAAACTTAGAATCTACAATTCATGTATTTCTGAGTTAGGAATATAACTTAATTAAAAATATATTATTTATATTAGCTATTTATTGGATTTTGCACAAATGTCCAAAAATACATACTATTACTGGCTCAAATACGAGATAGTATACTGAGCAGTTATATACGAGGTTACGAACAATGCATATTTCTCACTTTATGGCATACATTCAATTTGAAAGTTTTACATTCATACATCCTGTATATTAATGATTTTGAGCAGCTAAAAAAGTAATTTTTGTAGAAAAGAGTAGGAGACTTTTTGTTTTAATAAAGTTGTTATAGCGTAAATTCACAATTCATATTTAACTGTCACAGGAACACTTATTTCATAAAAATTAATAAGCTAACAGCTTAGAAAAAGTATGCATGAGTAATCTTAATCAACCTAATTCCAATGTTGATTCCTTGTAAATGGTTGGTGAAAATAATTTCAAAATCATTAATTTTAACTCTGTATCATGAAAACGTTGGTTTATGTTACATTTTTCTGGAATGAATGAATATGCATTTGTTATTTCATTATCGATTACTTACATTGGTAAGTCTAAAATAACTTTTTTTTTCAGGAGAGAGAAATGAAAAGACAACAAGCGGCCATTCTAAAGGAACAGGTAAATACATAAACACCCCCATTTTGTTCTACAACATAATTGCTTCATTTCTTCCATGCCTCTGACCTATGTGTGTTTTTGTATCAAATCAGTAATTGTTTGCTTTGAATTCTCAGTGTTTGAGAACATACGAATTAAAATGCAATCTGTTTAAAAATCTCCTAGTTATTTTAGAACGCAGAAGTGTTGTTTGATATAATTGATAGATTTATTTGAATAAGAATATATCAAAAATCAACATATATTTTATTATGAAAATAAAAAAAGTTAATAAATATTTTGTTTTTTGACAAAACTGCAGAATAAATTAGACAATTCTCTAACCAAAAATAAGAAAATAAGTATGTATGAAATGTTTAATTTTTGAAATACGGAGTAATAAAATTTTATCATTATTATTACTATTGTTGTAGTTATTTTCATGTATTTTATACATTTTTTAAGATTCATTAAAATCCAGATACAACCTATTTAGTCTCCCAGAATTTTTTGTTGCAAAAATAATGAGTAAAGAAAACTTCCCGTTTTATCCTTTATCTTTTTTGAGTACATAGTTTTTTCCGTATTTTTAACTGTTTGTATGTTATTATGCTAAAACGTGATTAGGAGCATGGTCATATTTTTTGTATGGTTTCATTTAGTAAAATTGAATTTCGAAGTAATGCAACATCCTGTATATATCTGTAATTATTTGTATTTTGAAAAAAACACAATATTGGTAGAAGAATATATGTAATTTTTATATAAATAATTTAGTAGATAGAGAAGTGTGACTTTTTTAGAATGAATTAGAAAATATATTTGTTGTAGTTACGTTACAGTAAGGTGTTTAACATTTTCTATTTCTAAAATTATCAGTAAATGACAGTGATAATAAACAGTTTGCAGTTTTAATCAGTCCTTGACAAAATGTTTTTGTGTTGTGTTAATGTTACCGTAACCCGTAGCTTCTGTAAATACTGTCATGCTATTTTTCTCCGTAGATGTACATACAGGAGATCAGTAAACAACGAGAAATGCTCTACACTGTTGAGTTGGTATGGATTGCATTCTAATATGAGTCTTCCTTTATCATTCTTTGCACTTTTCTCTAACATGTGCTTTATTCTTGTCTTGTGACCAGATGTGGTTTTTTTGCTAAAACACAGAATTTGATTTAACCAAAATACACATTGCAGCATTTGATAACTTGCCAATTTGAAGTATTATCAATTTTTTTTTATATTAACATTGAGTGGATATATATTGGTGATGGCGCTTTATTAATTTTTTTTTAGTTTTTCGAGTAACCTCCATTTTAAGAAGTTTCAGCATGTTTTTCGTATGTTCCAAAAAAATATATTTTCTTTAATGAAATATCACTCTTCTACGTAGGAAAGGGAAAGGAGACGACAACACATGGCCCTAGTAAAAGCTTTAGAAAATCGAAGAAAACTAGAGGAACGAGAAAGAAAGAAGCAACAGCTCCTAGCTGAAAAACAGGCAAACAAAGAAAAGAAAATGGAACAAAGAAAAGTTGAGATGGAGATATTGACAGAATTAAGAAAACCTTGTGAGGATTTGGAGCTGGATCAGAAATCCTTACCAGAATTTCAAAGAATTTCCGGCCTTAAACTGTCAGGAAAAGCATTTTCCGACGTATTGATGGTTTTCGAGTTTCTACACAACTTTGGTGAGACGCTCGGCTTCGATATGGAATCCTTGCCAACCTTGGACTCTCTACAGCACGCTTTGATGCCAAATGAACACTCTTCCGAAGCAGAAGAGGAACTGTTTTCTGTGATGACCCACTTACTAGTCTGTGCGATCGAAGATCCAAGCATTCCAAATCCAGCTAGACATACGACAATTTTAGGACAAAGTCTGAGACAGGCTGATATAACTCACGCTAACTTATCTGAAATACTCCGAATATACCTATATGCAAATGCTACAGGCGAGGTCAAGGCTCTCACTGGTGTTCACTTCGAGAGGGATAGAGAAAAGAGAGTTGCCGACCACCATCAAAATGATAACGAGATGCAGCAAACTCAATCGGGCAAAAACGCCCAGTATTACGAGCTACTGCACAACAATCCCACTTACAAGCTCTCTGATTTACTTAAAGACAAGCCTTTTATGGCGCTGTCGCCAACTAATAAAGCCGAAATTCTTGCCTTTATATGCAACGAACTCTTACAGAATAAGGCAGTTATTAGACAAATTGAGAGCTCTCTAGAGAGTGTAGCGCATCAGAAAAAGGAAAAATGGCTTCTAGATACCAAAATTAGAAAGTGAGTACAATGTTTCTACATAACAAAACGTGCTTAAATTGGTGTACTTACTAATTTGGCTTTTCTTAATAACTTTGGTGTGTCACCGTCATAATGTCAAAATGTTAAATAAGTTCCACTTTATTTGTTTTTAGGTTAAAAATGCTGCACGGGAGGAAAGTAAGATCTGAGGCTATGGAGAAAGCTCAACCGAAAATGGATGGGGAAGAGTCTGCAGCGGACTCGCCTGCCTTGCACAAAGATGACCTATTAGATGACGAAGAAAACGAAATGAGTGAAAATGAGAGTGTAGGCACCCAACCGGAAGAGGTAAGTATTTAAAAACGGGGAATGATTAGTTTGTTACGCAGATTAATAATTTGCAGGAGGAAGATAACAAATTATCTGGAGAAGAGCTAGGAAAGAAACTAGAGAAGCTCGTTAAAACTTCCGAGATGCAGTTGCAGTCGCTGAACACAGCTATGCTCCAACTAAGGGCCACATGTTTTGGACAAGATAGATATTTCAGAAGGTACTGGTCTCTGCCAAAGGCGGGAGGTGTCTTCGTAGAAGCCATCGAATCAGCTGACCCAGACGAATTGGAAAATCAGTGCAGACTTGATACCTGCAATATGACGAATGCTGGTATCAAAAGTCTGTCAGATATTAACAATATCGTTGACAACGTTGAAAAAATTAACGATGCTAGTGTAGACAAGGAAGTTAGCAGCATAGTAGGAAATAATGAAGAAGACAATGGAAAAATCGGACTCAAATTAACCGATGACAATGAAAACGAACACAGGAAGACGCCAAACAGATTAAGTGTATTTGAGAACGGCGAAATTTTAGACAAAAACGAACGTAACTTAGTCGAGCTTAAGAAGAGCGTCGACGATATAGTACAAAATTTAGAAAGAAATCTAGAGCTGCAAAAAGATCAAAGAGTAAATGAATCTCAAGAAATCAGTGTCATGAACCATCTAAATGAGTCGATGATCAAGTCCGAGGAGGAAAATGAACCCCTCGCACATAAAAAATTCAATTTGTTCGAGCGACTTGGCCAGTGCATGGAACGAGAAAACAAATCAGAGGAGGACCTAAAGGCTGAGGTTAAGGCGGAAGTAAAAGAGGAACTCAAAAATGAAATACTCAATGAACTGAAGTCAGAAATAAAGACGGAAATGAAAACGGAACTGGACGAAGAAAATGAACATAAATGGTTCAGCATCTTAAATAAAGACGGAGCAACCTGCGATGGTGTCTACTTAACGGCGGGGAACAAGTGGGAAAATGGTGTCGGGGCTTGTACGAGGGACATAACAGAACTGAAAATACCAGTCTTCCCACCACCTGGTTCTAATTCTTCTACGACGTACCACAACACCTGTGATAGCCCCGCTCCTTTGCAAATGACAGCAGAGGAAAGCGCGCAACTGGAGCACATCAAAAAGCATGGGATGCCTCAGTCTTGCGACCGTAAAACGATACCGTTAGATAAACGATTCGGCTGGTGGAGAATCACAAGTATTGAACACTTGAAGGAAGTGTTGGAAAACCTGCACGTTCGAGGGGTGAGGGAGAGAGAACTAAAGAGAAACATGATAAGCATAATGCAGACCATGTACGAACGACAGGGCAAAATTTATATCGAAGAAGGAAATAAGGATTTGACCGATTTAAATTCTGAACAAATTGATGATATAAAGTATACGGATGGGAGTGCTCCAGCTCCGGACGAACCAGGCGCCTGGAGTATTTCCATCGCCCATAGGGTGGACTTGTTCTTGCTTGAACAGGTATGTTTAAATTTTTTGATTTTTTAAAGCAATTCACTAATTCTTTTTTTTGTAGATCGAAGCTCTGGAAGATAAAGTGGCCAGTGCCAGTATGCAAATAAAAGGTTGGAAAATACCTAGTAGGGATTTACCCGATATACCATACGGGCAAGTTGTGAACATAGTAAAAGAGAGACTGAGTTCTTTGGAGATGAACATTGAGAGACGGTATCTAAAACCTCCATTGGGCGTCAAGTAAGTTGTCTTAGAATAATTAATTCAAACTACAACCATTATCACCTAGATCGTAAAACAGATATGTCACTTGATAAAAATGTCTTTAAAAATGTCCGAATCCCATGCGACTGTGACTGTTAAGCAACCAAACTTACACTGGAGGCACCTTTGCTTTCCAAACAAAAATTTACTCCACGTTTTATGCACTCAAAAATGTGTTCAAGTTCATTTCATTTTACCTTCCATTGCTGCTTCCAGCTCTTCAAGTGCCTGGAGACGATTTTTAAATATTTTACTTTTGATATGGCAAAACAGATAAAAATCTAAAGGTGTGAGATCAGGACTTCGAGCAGGTCACAAACTTCTAGTATTCAATCTATCACCATAAAATTCCTGAAGATATCTTATAATTTTTGCTGCAGCATGTGTTGTGGCTTCATCTTCTTGAAAATACCCATGTTGCAGTTCATCGTCATGCATTAATTCCAAGGCTTATTATAAAATGTTCGGTATTGTTCTCAATTGATTACTTCTTGAAAAAAAATTGGGTTTAATATCCGACTTCTTGACACTGCTAACCAGATACCTATCTTCTGAGGATGTAACATTTCAATAAAATTATGCACATTTTTTGGAGCCCAAGTTTTATAATTCTGACTGTTTACATAACCAGATAAATACCTCATCGAAAGAAAATGTCAGGTGTAATAAATTATCATCATTTAAACATTCATTAAAACCACCGACAATATTGGTTGTGATCAGGGGGAAGTAACTCTTGCATAACAGAAACCTTATAGGAATGCATTTATGCATCTCCTTCTTTAATGTCTTATGACAAGTTCCAACTGATACACCTATGGACATTTTATCTATATAATAAATATGTATAATTATTTCTTGTAAATACACAAATCAATCAGCGTAAAACTGTACATTTTTATATACGTTGATAAAAGGAAATATGTTCTAAAGAAATAGTAATATTAAATTATTTAATTATTAATTATTCTTTAACTTTAGCTTTAGGAGGGCTCTAAAGCAAATAGCCAACCAGCAATACATTTTTATAGATTTTATTACAGTTTGTCTAAATATTAATTAATGCACAAATAACAGACTTTCTCCCATTTTAACACAGATTTTTTATAAAATGGCCTTAGTTTGAAACTCAAATTACTTTTTGGAGTATAGAAATTTGTAATTTACAATGCCGCTTGTTCAAAAGTGGCAAATTACAAATTTCTTTACAACAAAAAAGTAATTTGAGTTTCAAACCAACTCCATTTTATAGAAAATCTGCATTAGAATGGAGGAAAGTCTATTATTTGAGCATTAATTCATATTTAGACAAACTGTGAAATAAAATCTATAAAAATTTATTGCTGTTTGCCTATTTGCTTTAGAATCCTCTTGGGTTAATAAATTTACATAATTCAAACTATATTAATTTTATTGCAGTACCTGTTTGAGTAGATAACTGTAAAACAAGATTTTTATGACTTCTCACTATTCGTTGTCAACATTTTCTTTTAAAACAGATCAGCCTGTCAACTTGCCCTTGCAAATGCAATGTTTTTTTCCCTCATATCTTCTAATAAGGATTAATTTGTTGTTTTTTAACACATCATATACGATATTAGCATCAGGAAAGGCTTCAACAAATTGTTCCATGCAGGATTGCATAGAGTAAGACCAAGTTCCATCTGCGTTTCATATATTTCTGCGAAAATGTATCATCAAAATAAATGCTTCTGATGTAAATGGAGTTTTTACAAAAATTTGCAAGTAATAAGAATGTAACAAGTGAAACAAAATCTTAAAATATTCGTTTAACTTACTTACGAAAAGAACGTCATGAATTTTCGGAGTTCTGAAAAGAACAATTTTTTTTCCACTCAACAGACATATTAATTTATAGAAAAGCACAGAAATACTGGTAAACACTGCTAAATTGTACAAACAACAGGCTTAAAAACACGAAAAATTATGATCGTCTCTGGATTGGCATTTAATCTAAAATCCTATACCTCGCGGTCAAACTTATTATAGAGAGTGACTCAGACATAATATAAAAACACTATTACCATAACGCGTATAAAATATAAAATGATTTTTATAACGGTTCAATATTATTTGTCTTGTATTGAATGATGTGGCGCTCTTTACACACATCGATAGAATCTATAATCATCTATAGACTGAGTTACACTGAACGTCGATCTATATTCTATCTCTGTCTTTTGCACTTGGTAGGGAATAGGGAAATGCTTTTTTAGTGGGTGTAAACGGACTTTCTTTAGCCGTCCTTAGAAACCCACAGCATAAGCGTAGGTGAGGGGTCTAATTCCGTGGCTAGAATAAATTTATAAATTAAAAAACACAACCGGGACATTTTAAAACTTTGTAATAATTAAAATGGATCAAAGTGCCGGTTGTAGCAAACCATGTTATGTTTTATTATCTTTTTTCCATATTTTCTATTTCTTGTTGCCTTTTACGCAGACATGCCAATGGATTTTCGTTCCCCGCACATTTCGTCCTTACTCCTCCGTCCTCCAAAAGCTAGCGATGAGTTACTCTCTATAATTTCAACCGCGGAGTATAGTTGGTGATTTATTTCTTGGTAATTTGTTAAACACCAACTTAAGAAAATCTAATTTACTGAATGCCAAAACAAATCTGAACACGTGGGACTTGAGCATTTATGAAGGCACTGTACATATCAATAAGTAGTAATCGTTTGTTTTCAGCACGGGTGACCCCAACTTGGCAGCTATAGCTCAGGAGGCGTCAGGGGGCACACTGCCCGCCCAGCCCATACCCAACCCGGACGAGATCCCGAAAGGCTTGGTGGTCTGGAGGGAAGCCGTTAATCGTAGTTCGACTTCAGCACAGCTGGCAATGTGCCTCTATTCGCTGGAGTCGTCCATCGCATGGGACAAGAGCATTATGAAAGCTGTGAGCGTCCCAAATGTCTTTAATAAACAGACAGCCCGCAAATATAACAGCAAGCTGAGTGTGGGTGCTTGTGGCTTCTTTTAGATTTATAATTTTGCATGCACGTTTTAGTTTCGTTTTTCTAAGATATACATGGTGATAGACGATTTAGTTTTTCAATCATAATAGCCTGTTTCTTGATTTCTCGGTCCGGTGCTGTGGATAACTAGAAAAAAGTAATTTCAGTATTAAAAGAATGATTATTTTATTCACAGTTTCTTCCGAATGATCTCTATAATCGTTATTTTTTAATTATCAGTAGCACTGAACACAAAATCTTTGTCAACAGCTATTAAGAATGGAAGGTGTTGGTGCATGGTTTTCATCACATTTCCCATGTATTCACGTACTAATACTAAAAAAAGTAGTATGTACAAACTTAAAATTAACAGACGATGGAAACTAATTACGTGTATACTAATTTTTTTTAGTATAGGTACACTTAAACCACGGATTTCTTATAGTAAACTAGATCGCCAATTCATAATAGCATTTATATTCACTCGTAGAAGGCCATCACACTGTCCTAAGATTCTGTCGGTTAGTTTCCGATAGAATATACCGATAACATGAGTCTAATTAAGTTAATATATCAATCACTACATTTGGCATACTCGACTTCTTTTAAAAATTGTATCGCACTTTCGCATACCTGCGGCTGAATTTCGGTCATAACTCTCCGAATTTCTGTCTTTAATTCAGGAATGGTATTCATTTGAGCAGAATAAACTTTGGTTTACAAATCCCCACAGGAAAAGTCACATGTCGTAAGGACGCGTGATCTTGGTGGTCAAGTCACTGTTACGTGAGATGAGTCGTCCATTAAATTTCTGCCATAACAAGTGGATAGTTTCACCTGCCGTTTGGCAAGTGGCACCATCCTGCTGGAACCACATGTCATCCAAATTCATGCCAAAGTTTTCAGCCTCATTCTCAAAAAGGAACGAACCAATCATCCCACCAGCGTAAAATCCACACCATACTGTCACTCTGGGTATACAATGGTCGTTCTTGAATGACTCGAGGATTGTCTCTACCCCAAATTCAACAGTTTTACTTGTTCACATATTTGTTAAAATGGAAATGCACCTCATCGCTAAAGATGATTTCCTTAGCAAAATCATCGTTATTGATTTTTCAACATCCAATCAACGAATGTCCGGCGCATTAAATGGTCATCTTGTTTCAATTCCTAGAGTTGTTAAAACGTGAATCTTTTTTTAAAATCTGCTGCATTATGCTTTTTGAAATGTCTAATAGCATACCGATGGCGTACTAAGGTTACAGGAGTTACGCTCATCCGTCGTATAGCGCTCCATTTCTAGCTGAATGTGTTTATTACAGCATTGTGCAGGGGCACAATGCTGCCAACTCTTGAATAAGAATAAACTTTGGACTTTACGAATTGCCACAGGAGAAAGTCACATGTCGTAAGATCGCGTAATCTTGGTGGCTAAGTCACTGTTACGTGAGATGAGTCGTCCACTAAATTTCTGCCATAACAAGTGGACAGTTTCACGTACCGTACGGCAAGTGGCACCATCCTGCTGGAACCACATGTAATTCAAATCCATGCCATCCAAATGAAGCCACAAAAAGTTTTCAGCTTCATTTTCAAAAAAGAACGGACCGATCATTCCACCAGCATAAAATCCACACCACACTGTCACTCTTTGGGTATAGAGTGGTCGTTCTTGAATTACTCGAGAATTGTCTCTACCCCAAATTCGACAGTTTTACTTGTTCACATACTTGTTAAAATGGAAATGTGCCTCATCGCTAAAGCATAGCAAAATCATCGTTGTTGATTCTCCAACATCCAATCAACGAATGTCCGGTGCCTTAACCCTTTCGCTGCGCAATACGTCTGAACGTAGCTACCGCGCCGTGCGCGAAAGTTTATCGCGTGCGAATATATACGTCTGGAGCAGTTAGACCACTTATAGTTTTACATTATGTTGTGTTAAATTACGATTTACGATAAATTTTACGATTTTATTTTGAATAAAATACAGTATATGTACTAAATAGAAACTGAAAGAAACATGAACAATCTTGGTACTATTACCAGTACCTCTTTCCATAAAAATATTTGTCACAATCGGTATAAGCTCGCCCGCAAAAATTCGCCTTACCAATTGCAATAACCGAGTCACTAATGCGCATGGTTGCGAATATATACGGTTTGAGCAGCCTGATCCAATTTAACTATTCATGCGAATTAATCCGTCTGGAGCAGTTTGAGCCTTATAAATTTTTAGCGAATATATACGTCTGGAGCAGTGAAAGGGTTAAATGGTCATCTGGTTTCAATTCCTAGGTGTGTTAAAACTTGAATCATTTTTTAAAATCTGTTGCATTGTGCATTTTGGAATGTTTAATAGCACTGACCGATAGCACACTCAGGTTACAGGAATCTCGTCACAAAACGTCCAGTACGAGACTGTCCTGTTTTTTTTTATTGTCTGCAATCGAACCTGTTTGTTCTAATTTGGCAACTAATCTTTTCACAGTTGTTTCATTCGGGGCCTTCCTTCTACCAAAAATTCCACATAATTTACACACAGTCTCAGCTACACACTCTTCATACTTGTAATGATTTTTCACAATCTTCACTCGCTCATCCATCATGTAGCGTTCAATTTTGTCTAACTGCAATATGTTTACTACATCATGTGACCCTGCACAATGCTGCCAACTCTTCGGAATGAAAATGGCACAAAATTCAAATCCTGCGTTACTTTTGGGAAACCCTGTATTTATTCTACATTCCTATAAAAGCACAATTTGCTGTTTGGTTAAATTTTTTTATGTATGTTCAATGTACATATTTTTGTACAAACAAACAAGACTATACAAATAAAAAAAAAAAACAAAAAAGTAGACCAGAACTAATCCTCCAAAAAGTACAAATAAAATAGTCTTGTTACAAAATCAGTGGCAATTAACGAAGAGTACCCTTAAGAAAGGTATAAATTAAACATTAGGTTTGAAAAAATCCATAATTTTATTTTGCTGTTATTTTGACATTTGAATTCTCTTTAGTAAAACAAGATTTAATAATCTTAAGGGCTGAGGCGGTTAGGAACACGGATGCCTAATGCTGACTCGTTATAAGCAATCCGCGGTTTATCGAAGGTACACTAATTCGTACTTAAAAGTAAATGTTGTAAAGGATATTTATGAGATAAATGAAATGTATTAATATAAATCGAAACATTGAAAAGTGAAAAGAAAATGTTTCATCTTTTCACCTAATTTTGAAAAATGATAAAATAATTGAACTGGCCTAGGCTAGCAGCTATCTGTCTTTTAGCCATCTAGTTTAATTTGATAAATCCGTGACTTAACCACACCACCAATAATCTAGATTTTATCAAATTAACGGAATTACTACTGTTGTGTAGTTTGAATACGTTCACTAAAAAACCGTTTGCACAAATATGTTTGTGGAATATGATGCTTTATTAAATTATAGTTTATCATAAATAATAAGACTAAATATTTCCATTATATAGATTAATCATTTAAACATTGCACAAATTAGATCAAAGTATTCATATTAACAAAATTAACTTTGATTAGTAATTGGTAAAACTCTTAATAGGTACTTACGAGTAATCGAGCAGTAAATTGCTCAGGAAAACTTATAGTAAATGTTTGTTGCAGAACTGCCAGTTTTGCCATAGTGGAGATAATGAAGACAAGTTACTATTATGCGACGGTTGTGATAAAGGATACCACACCTACTGCTTTAAGCCCAAAATGGAAAACATTCCCGATGGCGATTGGTATGTACATTTTAATTTTCTCGCCGTATGCTTGTTTTTACAGAGATTTCCATTATTTTATAAGATACAAGTCCAATTGAAATAAGATATTTTACGGTTTTGTTAAATTTGATGACGAATAACATATTGAAGACCCATCTTTATTTGTTTAAAGCTAAAGATTTGAATTTCATTTTAATTTTTTTTTTTCGGTGAAAATCAAAATGTGTGAATCTTTTAAACTCGAACACGTTTCAGACACATTTTTGTGGAAAATTCAAATGTATTGGTATGAAAAAAATTATATTTTTCCTTTTTCTTTTATGGGTGACATATTGTTTTTTTACATTTTTGACCAACTTAATTTCATTTTTGTTTTTCAAAAATACTAAATTACCTACTTTTGCCAAGAGTGCTTTGAAAACATTACATGCAAATATTACTCCAAACGAAATTTTGAAAATTCAATTGAATTTTCAATAACACGTTTGAATTGTCTTAAAGATTACTCGAGTGTGTAAACTTAAGGAGCACTTCTTTCCATTTTTTGTTACAAAATTAAAAATTGATAAGTTTAAAGCGAAAAAGGTTGGGTAAAATTTTTCTTCAACGTGTTACTCTGCGTTAAATTTTGCACATTGCCTTAATTTGATTTACTTTGAATCTCATAATATGAAAATCGTGGTTCCTATAGTGCAGTTCTATAGTTCAAAAAAATGAGCACTTTGTATACAGTATGTTAGAAATTTGACTGCCATTACTTCAACATAGATTGAACATAAACGAATAAAAAATGTTGTGTTAGATGGACGTAGCATAAATCGTTTTTAAAATGTGTGGAGGTATAACATTGGAGAATCTTATCACAACTTGGCAACAATGAGAGTAAAATCACGAATCTAGTGCCCTTCAGACATTTTTTTATAGTGAATAACAAAAAATCCAAAGGTAAACAATTGAGAATTTTAATAAATTTAGAGAATTTAAAGACAATTATTTTATAGTTTTACTTTTAAAATAGACGAATAGTACAAATAAAGATTAGTATGAAGATACTCTTTTAAGGATTTAAATTTTAGTAATTTTTTTTGATACGTTTAAAACATACGTAACTTTAATCCGACATGAATTTGAAAAATATAAAATAAAAACATTTACAACTTACATTTCACAAATAATAGTAACATATACAGGGTGTTCCATCTAAGAGGGATTCTTCTGTAACTGTATAATTTACAAAAAAAATAGTTTTAATAAAAGTTGCCTGGAATCATGTGAGCCATGTAAAGAGAATATTTTTAGCTTTACAGGGTATTTCATTTCGCATGGGCGCTACATAACTTTGTTATTTTAAATGGAACACCCTATATATTATTGCGTTTTTGAAATAATATTCGGTAGAGTTTATTAAATGTACATGGTGTTTAAAACTTACCGTTTTCGAAATAATCAGTTGTTTTTGAAAAAAATCACGATTTCAGCTCTCTAAATAACGTCTAAACCGTAAGAGTTAGAAACCTGCAGTTTTCACAGTTTGTTTCGACATAAATTACTCTATCTTGTCATCCGTGAGCAAAACGTGTACATTATTCAGACTCGGAAATACTGCGACCTACATTTCATAATCTTACGATTTGGAAAAATTTTTTTTTCAAATGGAATGACCCACATTAATTGTCATGGATGAATGCAAAACTGAATGCCCTTTCGACTGATATAAGGTTGTCCATACTTATCTCTAACAGTTTTCCAGACAAATCAGGTACTTTTCTAAAGTCCGAAAAAATAGCTATGTAACAGCGTCAAGAAGGCCTTGCAAATGTATTAGTACAACGTCGATATATAGGATTTTACTAATAGACGTTGAGCCAGAGAGCATGTGCGGTTTCCTTCTGCGGGAGTAAATGTAGCCTACCAATTTAGATTCGTCATGAAGGCAGCATGAATGTTTGGGATGATACTTTGTAAAATTCGGTAGCTTAGCGGTGTTACGATCTCACAAAGATGGCCGCCGGGCGAAAATCGTAGTTTACCATTCTAAAGTCTGGTTTTACTTGTAAGGAGTAAAAGTATCATACAAATGTCAATCCACCATAAAGCCAGGATCAATGTTTGGGATGATACTTTGTAAAATTCGGGAGCTTAGTGACATTATGACGTCACAAACAGGTCGCCGGACAAATTCCGTTTAGGTGTATTGGCAAAAATTATAATAATAAAATATATTATTATAATAATTTAATAATGACTGCATATTCACGACGATAAATAAATACGATCTACGAAAAAAAAGTTAAATAAAATATTTTTTATTTTAGAGTTACAGGCCTACAAAGTTGTCAAAAATAAAATTAATTTAATTAATAACTTCAGAACCCTTTTACCGATCGTGTTAAAATTTGGCACATTTATTTGGACTATTATGGCGTATTATTTCTTAAAGATTTAGTCAAATCGATATACTAGGTGGTAGTTTTCTCCGGTTACCTCTCCCTTTTAACGGTCAAAACTTTTACAGTGGTCGTATTTTTTTAAAACGGGCAGCAACATTGGAAAGGTTGTTTTATTTTAAAAAAGTGTATCTTGAGAAAATTGCCTACAGAAAACCATTCTCGAGAAAAATGGCATTATTTGCATCCGGCGGCCATATTTGTGACGTCGTAACGTAACTAAACTACCGACTTTTACACAGTATCATCCCCAACATTGATCCTGGCTTTATACTAAACCAAAATTTTTGTGATACTTTTACTCTTTACAAATGGAACCAGACTTTAGAATGGTAAGTTACGATTTTCGTCCGGCGGCCATATTTGTGACGTCGTAATGTAACTAAACTACCGACTTTTACACAGTATCATCCTCAACATTGATCCTGGCTTTATACTAAATCAAAATTTTTATGATACTTTTACTCCTAACAAATGGAACCAGACTTTAGAAAGATAAACTACGATTTTTGCCCGGCAGCCATCTTTGTGAGGTCGTAACGCCACTAAGCTACCAAATTTTACAAAGTATCATCACAAACATTGATGTTGCCTTCATGACGAATCTAAATTAGTAGGTTACATTTACTCCTCAGAAAGGAAACTAAACTGTCCATTTTTGACTACCTGGCTCAACGTCTATAAAGCACAACACAGCACATCCTTATCACATCCAATTACACCAAGAGTTACTATAAGTAGACTTTCAGCGGAGACTAAAATTTTGTCAGTGGGCATATGAGATGTTAAATAAAGATGATTTTTTTTTAAAACGGGTCATGTTCTCCGATGAGGCTACTTTTCATAAAAATGGTTTTGGCTTCGTTAATAGTCATAATTGTCATTATTATGACACAGTAAATCCTCACCAATTCCGGACAACTGATAGAACATTGAACATGTAGAAAGCAATTTTAGAACCCATGTCATTGGACCATTCTTTTTTGACCAGCATCTAACTGGAGAAGTTTATTTAAACTTTTTAACAAACACTAGAAAATTTGTTAGGCAACATTCCTTTAGCTACACTTCAAAGAATGTTGATGCAACATGATGGCACTCCACCTCATAATACCGCTGCGGTTCGTCAGTTTTTACACGATACATATCCCAACAGATGGATTGGGCGCGGGGGACCAGTGAGTTGACCCTCAAGGTATCCAGATATGACAAGTTGCGACTTCTTTTTATGAGGATTTATAAGAAGCAAAGTTTACGTTACACCACCAACTACTGCGGAAGATGTGGCAGTGCATTACAGTAGCATTTCAAGAAATTACGTCAGACATGCAGACCAATCTTGAACAGTCTGTTAATAATCGAATTCGTTGTGTGTATTAATCAAAATGGAGGACACTTCAAGCAGTTGATGTAAATCAGCGGTCTAAGTATTCTTCTCTTTGTTGTGTTTCGAGATTCAGTTTGTTTTGTTTTGCGTTTTGTTTTAGTTGTTAGTGGTTTACTTTTGTTTGTCAAACCACTTTTTAAACATGCCAGTAAATATTGACACTGTCAGTCCCAGGCCTGATAAAATGTGAGAGAACAGTGGCTTTGCAAGGCCTTCTTGATGCTGTTACATAGCTACTTTTTCTGACTTTAGAAAGGAACCTGATTTTTCTGGAAAACTATTAAAGATAAGTATGGACAACCTTATACGAATCGAAAGGGCATTCAATTTTGCATTCACCCATGGCAATTAATATGGGCCATTCCATTTAAAAAAAAACTCGTAACATTATTAAACGTAGGTCTCAGTATTTCCGAGTATGAATAACGTACACGTTTTGCTCACCGATGACAAGATAGAGTAATTTATGCCAAAATGAACTGTGAAAACTGCAGGTTTGTAACTCTTACGGTTTAGACGCTATCTAGCCTCATTTAGAGAGCTGAAATTGTGATTTTTCTTTAAAAGAACTGATTATCTTGAAAATGGTAAGGTTTAAACACCATGTACATTTAATAAACTCTACTTAATATTAACCAAGGAATTAAAAAATGCAATAATATACAGGGTGTACCATATAAAATAACAAAGTTATATAGCGCCCCCCTATATTTTCTTTACATGGCCCACATGATTCCAGACAACTTTTAATAAAACCATTTTTTTTATAAACTTTACAGTTGCAAAGTTACAGGAGAATCCCTCTTTGATGGAACACCCTATATATCCATAAAAAATTTAGAGACTAAAGTAAAATCAAAGTGTTAAAACTGCACAAGTAGAAGATAAATTACAATATGTGTTCAAAATGTCTACCACCATTTTCAATACAATCGAATCCAATTTTCATGCACTCGCTGGAAAATTCTTGGATTTGTTCTTATTATAAGGGCAACGGCAAAAATTCATTCTCGCAAGTGTTCTGTTTCGACTTTGGTGACGTACACTAATTGCACTGTATATTTTGTGCACAAAATGATATCACGTTTCTTAATTAACTGAACTGTTGTACATCAACATGGAGATTTTGTTAACTTTTTTCTCGAAAATGGTTGAATTAAGGAGGTTCGATACCAAAAGAAAAATGGTAAGAATGTTTTTGAAATCTGTTAATAAATATGCAAACTGACTTGTGTAAAAATATCAGATCGATTGACAACGTAGTTTTTTTGAAAAATGATTTTAAAAATTATGCTCTTTTACACAGGCTCTTATGGGAGTTGGGAAAAAACTTTAATCAATATTGCTCTTAAAAATGGTTAGGATCGGGAAAATAAAATTGTAATTAAAGAATTAAATATTACTAAACATTTTAAAACAATAAAAATATGCACTTACAATGTAATTATTGAGATAATGGAATGAATAGATAACGTTTTGACAAATTTGAACAAACATCTGATCCAATGAAAGGAAATATGGCAACACTGTACGCTGTATTTAATGCTTCGACTGATGCGTTATATTTGAATAGCTCAATTATAGATTATAAAATTATTCCTGTCGAAAACATATGTAGTAATAATTAATATTAAATAAATTTTTCGTGATCTAAAGCAATATACTAGCAATTTGAAACAAAAATTGAAAGGATCTCTTTGCAAAACGAACAGTTTAGTTGTTATGTCATAATCTTCAATTTGACAAGTCGACGTCTCACTATCATACATTGAACTTCTTGATAGTTATCATATGGATTCTCGGTTTGCACATTTTATTTTTTTCTCATCAATCCACATTCTGTTTTACACTCATTTTATACTTTTCAGTCATTACTTTTCCTTTGTACCTTGGTTGTTCATTCATGTTTACGGAATTTGCGCAAAGTTGACAGTAATGACAGTTGACCCAACTTTTACCACCACGCCATGGCAATGTTGCCAGATTTCATCCATAATTTTACAAGTTCGTAATGAATAAATAGACGCTTTTATTCAAATAAAAAGTGAACTGACGTGTATTAAACACGAAAAAAATATGCAAGCTAATATGTGTTGTATAAATTTAATTCTAAATAGCATACTTAGTTCGCTGAAATTAATTTATGTAAGGTTGGTACTGCAACAAGACTCCCGTGTATAAACATAGGCATACTCTCCGCACCGCCCGCCCCGTAAGAGGTGTATCGAACGTCCTTAAGGACTAATGTTGTTTTTTGTATTTTTTATTATTTTTATGTATTCGGTCGCCTATTAAAATTCTGGCAATCAAACTTCAAACACACTATACATTTTAGACATTGTCTTGAATTATAAAACAAAAATCTAATTTTAATTTAGGTACTGCCACGAATGTATGAACAAAGCCACTGGTGAACGAAACTGCATCGTTTGTGGCAAAAAGATTGCTACAACTGGTACAAGACTTATTTTGTGTGAAATCTGCCCCCGTGCCTACCACACAGACTGCATACAACCTCCAATACACAAAGTTCCTCGTGGGAAATGGTACTGTTCCAACTGTATATCGAAGAAACCACAAAAAAGAAGCGTCAAAAAAAACCACAAGGTGACCAGAGACAGCGAATCATCCGAACATCCTCCATCTAGGTAAGGTAGTACCATCACTGCAACTGATTAATCATTCTGATCGTTAGTAAACATGAAACAATTTTCACTATTTACAGTCCCGCTCCTTCCCATAGTTCGGTAACAACAAACGAAGACATGCCATCAACGAACTGCAACCAGAGTGATATATCGAATTCAAGCCTGGCCAATGCCGGGTCTCCGTCCACACCGTGTCCCAAGAAGGACCGTGTCAACAAAAAACTCATGAAGGAGCTCGCCCCCTGTAAAACACTCTTGGAGGATTTGGAGTGCCATGATGATGCTTGGCCTTTCCTCTTGCCTGTCAACACCAAGCAGTTTCCCACTTACAAGAAAATCATCAAGATTCCCATGGATTTGTCCACGATTAAGAAGAGATTACAGGATTTACAGTAAGTGTACAATATCCGTTTTTATACAGTGTGTCAGGAAACTATCAGCAAAATATTTGAAGGAGTGATCTTTTTAATAAATACATACAGGGTGGGCCACCTGTAACGCCTCGGTCACTAGGGACCAAATGGCAAATGTTTTAGAAACCTGTTTAGGTGGGTACATGTAGGTTATGTATTTTTAAATGGAACACCCTGTATTTTACTGGCGCCCTTTTTTCGGTCGAGGCTGTAAGCTTCCACTGCGAGACTATCATTTTGTTTCGGGATCATACCATATCCCCACGATTCATCACCGCTTATAATCATTTCTGGTTTTTCTGCTCCATCGTTATCAATTTTGGAATGAATTTCGCACACGCAAATCATTCGCATATTTTCAATTAAAATCTTCCAAACACTAGCTTTCAGTATTCCAAGATTACGTTCTAGTTCTCGCACAGTCAGTCGATGATCTTTATTGATCGCAAGTCGCACACGTTCGATATTATCCGGTGTTTTTGTCGTCAAAGGCCACCCAGAGTGTGGGTTACTATAACAGATGTGCGGCCATCTTTGAATCACTTGTCCCCAATTACCGTATTCATCATTTCGATGGTCTCCGCACAACTCTTTTCGAGTTTAAAGCAAAATTTAATGCAAATTTGTTGCTCAGATCTTTCCGTCATATTTTACAATAGCAAAATGTGACAAACGTAAAGAATTCTTACTAAGATGTCCCGATAAAAACTGCGAAGTTCGTGAAGCTTTACAGTTGACACTCGTACCTTGCAGAGGGCCTTAAAATTGTCAGGCGCGAAGATATGATGGAAGGTCATATACTTTTGGAACAGACCTTGTACGTCCTTATTTTTTTTTTTCATCAAGGCTGTTTGTGCTTAACCATAATATGTGCTAGTAGTTCCCATTACTGTTTTAAATCTCGATAATTGGCAATAATTTTCTTCCATCTTTGTTCACTTTGGCCTCATCTCAATTCACTCTTCACCACCCTTCATTGCGTTCACTTTGGTGTTTTTTCAACTCTCGGAGAGTGGAAGTTACTATTTTCGACGAATGATTGTAAACTTATGTACAATTTGAAAGATGGATGACAACTAAACATATACGTTGCAAATAAAGATTTTTAGAGGCTCCGACACAAATCCTGCCAATTTTTTACAAAGCAGTTAAAACTTGAAATATTTACATTTTCCCTCTAATGTGACTTTCAGAGTATTTCATACTATAGCTATCATCTTCGACTGTAAATAATGTACGGAGTGTTTCTGAAATAAATGTATTCCTTCAAAGGGGTAATGTAACAAATTATTTTAAGCAAAATTGTTTTATATCATTTGAAAGTGGCGACAGATCAAGAAACTTAAGTCAAATACTTATATAACTTCATGTCTTATTCGCTCTTTCGTTTGTTTGTAATGATGGCCAACCATCAGTTTTGTGTCACCGTGTACAATTTTGTTTACACTAAGCCAGTGGTGTTCTGTGGAACCCTGGGGTTCTCCACAACCTCTAGGGGTTTCGCGACTGTCAAAAATTCAAAATTTTGAAATTAACTATATTGATAATACAAAATTCAAAATTCAAAAAATGTATACTCTTACTTAAAACTACTACTTATAAATATTATATAATCAGGAAAAAATGTGTTTCAACGTATTTTTTAGGTGAAGTCGTAAAAGTTTGAGGCTGCACTAAACTAACATCATAATACATATTTAGACATCACAGTTAGGAAACAACTGATTTTAATACAAGCAGTATACGTCCTTTCTCCATTGGGTACAAATTATATTTTATAATCTAAACATTAACGTCTGTCAAATTATCTTGAATTATATAATTAATTTATAAAAATTATACAATTTAAAAATAGTAGTTTGCCAAAGAATTTAACAGAAAACACAGAAAACATTATTTACGGAAATGGTTAATTTTGTCAACTTGTAATAAGAGAACCCTTTTGTAAAAAACCCAGAAATAAATTGGAATAAATTTTTTAGTCAGTACAAGGGCTATTTAAAAATCAGAATTTTCTTTTTTTTTTCAAAATTATGGAATGTTAAAGTGAATATTAATGAAAAAGAAATACATTGAGGATATGTAACTGGTTATTCAATATTGGGTGAGTTTGTCTACAAGTATTCGAAAAGGTGTCACCAGAACTTGTATCATTATTTTTCTGAGGGAAATCACAGTTTCCAGTCTTGTATTTGGTACCAGGACGGTTCCAGGATTTTCCAAAAAAAAATTGGTCCCAGGACCTAAAAAGTCCTGAAATTAATAGTAACATCAGTAACGTCACGTTTGTACTTTGTAACCACTTCTAAGAAAACTAGAAATGGATTGATTAAAATAATTAGAAGGGAAATGACTTTTTGAGAATGATGGTTGTCGTGGTCAGAATCTCCAGTTATGTTACGAATTTTTGCTAACCAATGCACCAGCGTGCAATCAGAGAGGGTGTTTTCATTGCCGGATCTTTTTCTACAAAACTTTGATCAAAACTGGGGGATGAGTCTTTAATCCTCTGGTGGCGCTTAGGTCTAATTTTACTTCAAAATAATGTTTCATTTTATCTCAATGTAGAAAGTGTTTATTGTATCATTGTTGGTCATGGAAAACGATAACTCCACAAAAAATGCTGCTGTTTTTTAATTTTTGACTTGTATTAATATAATATGCGTGTGTGTACGAGTTTGAGTGACTATACTACGTATTTGTATGTGTATTGCACAAGCATGTATGAGTGTTGTGTATGTATATTTATAAGTTATACTGTTTTTTACACTGTTTTAATAACGCTTTATAATCATATTGCTTTTAATATGAGTAAGTTAATTGACTTTCTGAGGGGTAGTCTAATTATCATTTATCTGTGTCTAGTCCTTTTGTGTATAGGTTGTATATTGCCTTTATAACTATGCACAATAAATATTTTTTACCATTTTTACCTTACCTTATCGTTACAATTACATTTGATTATGCTGACTTTTGACGTTTCATATATTTTTTATTGCTGATGTTGTGTAGTACCAATATTTAAATAAAAATACGTTTCTGATAAGTTTCCATAGAACATTTGTTGCACTGTAACTGTATTGTCTGTATTTTGATTTCGGGACCATTTTTGGGATATTCGGGACTAGTACCGTGTCTTGAAATTTGGACCCGAAGTCCCAATGACATTTTTGGTCCCGGGATTTGGGAACCCTAGATATCGCCCTCTAAATTTTTTGCTCACAGTTTATAAACACTACATTATTTAAGATAGGTGAAACATGAACTATACTTTTATTTGTTTCAGATATAAATCCAAGGAAGAGTTTTGCGCAGATGTCAGACAGATATTCAACAACTGCGAGACTTTTAACGAAGACGACAGCCCCGTCGGTAAAGCAGGTCACTGCATGAGGCAGTTCTTCGAGGCGAGATGGAACGAGCTGAGCATGTCCCACAGTTGAGGATTGCTTTTTCCCAAGAGACATTACAGCCATCGAGTAGTCAGACCCCCGGAAAACAGTGTTTAAAATTGTTAATTGGCGTGTTTTCATTAGTTGGTTTGAATAAAGTTTTGGTGCTTTATCATGTTTTCAGATATCGGAACTGTGACGACGAGAGTAATTTATACACAGAGCACTATGTATTTATATTGTAAAATATTACAGGTATTTCCAGTGCGTGATATAATGACATTAAAAGAAACGTATACTAGAGCTTTTTACTGTTGTCCTTTCATAATTTGATAATGATGAGTATTAGTTAAAGGTTTTTACATCACTTAGCTTGTCGACTTAAAATCTGTTTGTGATTTTCCCCCGTGGAGCTCCCGACTTGTATTAAATTTGTATTTTTGATAACTGTATTTTTTATATTATTTAAACGATTATTTATTTAGGTTAGGTTTCTCGCTTGTGTTGATAAGAGCATCCCCTTTTTTATACCTTATTTATTTACCGAACATTGTGTTATGATTAAGTCATTCCGAAATTATCAAAGGTTTTCGTTGCATTTAACTTTCACTTAATGTTAGTATAAATATGTATAAATTGTAAAAAAAAATCTGACATTTGCATCGCTCAACTTGTCTCTAGGCTACAAAAAAACTGTTTTTATGTAAGCTGAACATAGTTCTCAAATAAAAGATGTATTGAAAATTTTGGATGTGTTTGGTAGGCTAGTTCTTTGCAGAGCCCACCTTTGCAGACTATAGAACTAGATTATGTATTGCGTGTAAGATATTTATAATTATATTTACTTATAAATGTAGCAGTGGATTTTATTTCCGTCACCGTCGGTTTCTGGTATGTTTTTAAGGGGGGGCGTTTTTATGTCTAGTTTTCAGTGAATTTATGCCAGTCTTGATGAGGATTTTAGAAAATCTAAACAGGTTAGACACAATATCTCTTTACTGTTCCAGTTTTACAGGTTTCGTCCAGGGTATAACACAGTATACAAGTTGACAATACGTTCAGAACAAAGGAAAAAAAATCATATTTTTACGTCGTATGTTTACCATTACATTTCCTGAATTTTACACGTCTGTTGAACATACAGAAAATCGCTAACGTTATTACAAACATAATCACACCCCTCAGATTGCTTTTATGAAACTATTAATACGTGAATTAAACAATTATTGAATATTTTTTCAAAATTCATGACAAAACGGGGAAGGTACAGTGATGACCTTTCTACGTATGAACTAGGATGTCACAAAAAGTTGCCATTTGGGTAACGGTAGCGTAGGAAAGTATAAATTAGGGGTCTTGAAAACAAAAATTTTCCAATATACAGGGTGTAACTAAGTGAGGGGCAGTTTTTTAAGGGTATACAACAGGGGTCGGCAACCTTTTTTGGCTGCGGGTTAAAATCAACCACAGTGTGAATATTAAATGGACGTTTGGGTCAGTGATATTTTCATTTTAAAACAGTCTTTTAGTGAATGATAAGATACATTTTATTAAGAAAATAATTACGATACGCTTTTAAACTTTAATTATTATTATAAAAACTAATAAAATTCTAATTATTATAAAAAGAAACATTTAGCAGTTACCTAAGTGAAATAATTATTATTATTTAAAAAAATATATTGCCAGGAACAAACAAAATGCAAAAAAGAGGTTATTTCAAGATTGATGTACCCGCAAAAACAAAGCATCTATTTTAAATTTTTTTTTCTCAAAATATTCGTTTCATGTTTATTTTGTAATTTATTTTTATATACTTTATTATACTTTTTTAGGAAATAAAGTGGGTCACTTGAAATTAGTAAATGGGTCACTCGGTGACCCGCGGGTCATAGGTTGCCGACCCCTGGTATACAAGCTGTTACAAATTCGCTTCTCAGTACAGGGATCTCGGAAACGGTAAGAGGTACGAAGTAGCTTAAATGGGGGAAAAGTTGCGTAATCAGGGGACCAACATTATGTCTACAAAATCAAAGCTAACATGATTAGTTTTCGAAATATTTGAAAAAAAACGAAATTTTGGAAATCCCTTTTTGTTTAATTTCAGCCTTGTTTGAGGTGATATTGAAAAAAGAAGAACATTTTCTCATGGCCACTTTTTGCCCTCTATCGAATGGCATAATCAGTTTATATGTAACGTTTCGTCTCTCCAGGACTATCAATTTCATTTTTTTAAATACGACCCTGGAAATTTTATTACATTTTTTGCAAGCCTTCATGTCCCCAATACTGTACTGCTTCAGCCCGAACCAGATTCAGACGTTTTGTCTCGAAAAATTTATCTAGTCTAGAATTGTGGGGAGGGTAGCAAAGCTACAGCACTTAGGCCTCATTGGGCCCCTTGTACATCCTCCCATTAGAGAGATCAATCCACCTGAACCGCCAACCAGCCTATTACAGTGAAAAAGGTGGTGACGTTGCTCAGGGGGGTCTCTCTAATATAGGCCATTGAAGGCCAGCGTTCTCCCAACATGGACTCTCTTGTTGACGAGACAGCAGTGCATTCACATAGTAAATGCAACACCGTCTCGTCTTCCTGTTCACAGCCCCTACAAAGAGGTGTTTCACACTTCCCCATATTGTAAAGGTGTTTCCTTAGCCAACAGTGTCCAGTTTGAATACCTGTCACCAGGCGAAGATTTGACCTAGACATAGCCAGGTATTTTTTGGCTGTGTCTTTGCTAGGATACACTAAGAACTCCTTAGCAAAGTGACAGCTGATTGTTTCATCCCACCGTTTCATAAATTCTTTGTGGGTGTCTTCCTTGATAATTCCAACAAGTGCCGACAACGGAAGCACACTGGAGGGGCCGGGTCCAAAAATGTTGAGGCCCGATGCGCTCCTGGCTAGCTTGTC